CCTAAATCTATATCCCCTCCCTTTTCTTCTTTAAAGAAATCTACCTAGGAGTAAGCTTTAATAGCCTTTATATTAGGCTCCTAAAACAACTATTACTTTGTAGTTCTATCTATATAACCTACAAAGATAACCTCTTTCCCCCTGTTTATTAATTTGTCTCTTCTTAGACCTTAAGGCTAGGACCTTAGATCTATATAGACTACTACTTTGTATCCCTAAACCCTAAAATAGTTAACTAATAGGACCTTACCTATAAATGCTTTATTAGGTGACACTTGAATTCTATTAATTAGAGGACTATTTAGGAGCTTGTTCCTTATCTCTACCTAAGTAAGTAGTGCTTCTAGCTAGAACTCTATAGGCATGCCTAAATCCTAGAGCATTGTACGTACTATCTACTTAGAGGTCTAGATTAACCTTTCTACTACACTATTTTAGAGAGAGTTATAGGCATTAGTTGTGTTAACCTAAATGCTAAAATTCTTCTCCTACTACTTGAAAATAGCAAGGAGTTCCCTTATACTATTACTCCTAATTGAATTTAGAAAGTAGCCTAATTGCCTCTCTACTTTCTTTTTCTATTCCTCTAGTACTATTAGAGTATCTGTCCTAGCTTTTAGAGGGGAGATCTACTTCTTCCTAGAGAAGTTATCTACTACTTCTAGCTAGTACTTAAAACCAAGCCTTAAGACAGTACTATTAAAAGGCCTATAGATATTAATAGATATAAGGGCTAGTCTTTCACCTTTCCTTTTAGTAATAGGACCCTTATATTTTCGTTTGTTTGCAAGTAAGCATACCTTACACAGGTGCTTTTCACTTAGTACTAGAATAGGAGAATTTAATATAGTAACCTTATATAAGCTTCTTAAGCTACTACTTCTAAGGTGTACAAATCTCCTATACTATAACTCCTACTAAGCCTGTTCCTTAGCTGAAAGTAAGGCATATATGTACTCCTCTATTACATCTATTACTAATATAGCCTGTAGGTTATCTAATAGAGATAAAATAAAGGGCACACCTCTATAAATTTTGGTCTAGATAACTAGTTTACTAGACATAGATCTAAGGGTGAAACTAGGTAGTTAGACAGTAAACTGTTAGCTAAACTAGTTCTATAAAACAAGACTAATACTAAGACTAGGAATAAGAAGAACATCTCTTAGAACAATTTGTTTCCTAAGGTCCCCTCCTATCTCTACTTCTCCTATATAGGTAGCTTTTATAAAGCCGCTACTAACCTTGATCTATCTAGGCCTCTAAAGAGGCTTTATAGTTCTAAAGAGAGAAGGTTAGTCAGTTATATAGGATAATACATAGGAGTCAAGCAACTATTTAGATAGGTACTTACCCTTTACTTCTACTATAGAGTAGGCAACCTTATTAGTTTCCTTATTATTAGATAGGGATTCTGACTTAGCTATAGAGTCCTTAGCCTCTTAGGAGGCATAAGCTCTCTAAGGTTTCTTAGCTCTCTAACTAGACTTCTTCTAGGTTAGAGACTTCTCTACTAAGGATTTTAACGATCTTATCTCCTTTTAGAGATTAGACAGGCTTATCCTTAATAGTGATCTGTTCTTCCTTAGAGGGGATCTGCCCCTCTCTTTTCCTTTAAGAGACTACTTTGCCTACTAGAGGTAGGGACAGTCTTTAATTAAGTGCTACTTCTTATAGAGATAGTAGGTAAGTCCTCCCTTTTACCTAGCAAACATTGTAGTTTCTTGTCTTTAGAGCCTAGCCTTATATAACTCTAAGAGGTAAAGCGCCTCTTTAGGTATTATCCTAGTCTAGGCATAAATAGTGTCTACTGTACTCTAGTATATAGGTAGCAGACTAGTAAGAAGATGTTTTATCCTCCTTTCTATACTCTTATAGTAGGACTCCCTCTTATCTACTTTAGTAATCCTTCTCCTAAGATTGCTAAGGTGTACCTAGGCCTTTCTAATTGTCTATTCTTCTAACATCCTAAATGTAATATACTCCTTAACTAGGGACATCGCATATATAATGTATACTTTATAGTATTTAGCCTTTATTTTGTCCTAGACAGCTTTAGTCCTCTTCTTATTAATTACCTTATCCTAGTTATCTTCTAATAGGCAGATAACTAGTTTATATCTTGCTTTTGTATTAGCCTAAGACTACTCTAGTAAGTGAACTGAATGTCTTAAACTAGGTAAAGGGATTTCCTCTAGTATTAATACTAGGGTCTCTATTAAAGCTAAACTACTTAAAATAACCTAAAATACATTCTTCCCTTTAAGGTTGTCCTCCTAAAGACTGAACTATGTTCTCTAATTTTCTTTTAATAATAGAGGTACTACCCTCCTCTTTCTAAAAGACCTAGAATCTAACTCTATGCTTTTCTTTAATAAGTAGATACTATAGCTCTATAGTAAAAGGTTGTTAGTGAAAATGTATATATATAAACATATAGAAGGTACTAGAAGGTAGTAGTAAGAGGGTAGCGGTTCTTATAATGTATGTATGCCTTCCTAATATATAGTAGGTTCGTAGTTAATAAAGTTCTAATAAACTCTTCCTAAGATCGTTATAGGGTATTAGGAGTGACGCCCTACTCCCTTACTAGGCTACTTTCACGACTTATATATACTTATAGTATAGACTGTATCTTCTAGGTACACTACGGTAGCGAGCCTCTAGTCGGCCTTCCTTTTCTACCTCCCGTAAGGTCTTATAAGGTAAGGAATAACTTATACTTCTTACTTGATTTAAGACCTATCTTACAAACCTAGGCTTATAACCTATTAAATAGGATATGTTACGTAGTTTGTAGCGGAAGTAAGGACTTAATAATCGAAGAAGAAGGACCTAATTTATATAGAGGTATCTAAGATAGTCTAGTATAAAGGTTAGATAGAAGGTAAGAGAGAGAGAGAAGCCCGCTCTCCCCCTTCTAGCTAGTATCACTAAGCTTGGCGTGTCACGTGACCTGGTCACGTGACCGCTTAGCTTACTACTAGGCCTACTCCTACTTTCCTCCTAAGCTACTATTTTATAATATCTTCCTCTAACATCTTAAATATAATTAACTCTTAGACTATTACTATAGTATATACTTTTAGTACCTTACTATATTTTGTCTTTAGCTTAGTCTAGATACTAGAGGCCTTTGTTTCCTCTATAATTTTATCTTAATCCTTAGGTCCAAGACAGCTTATTAGTTTATATATAGCCTTAGTATTTACCTTCTACTATATAGGACTAAACCTTAAATGTTTAAGACCTAGGAATATTATCCTTAACTTAGATCCCTCTAAGGATAGTATGTCTCTATTAGAGCTGCCCTTTAGTTCTTATATATCTAGAACAACCTAGAATACCTCTTAGCCTCTTAGGCTAGCTTCTAACAATCTAAACTACATCCTCTAGTTGTCTCTTAATAGTATAGGAGCTGCCCTTCTCTTTCTAAATCTATTGTCTAAATCTATCGCTCTTTCTCTTTAGTACTTTAAAACAAATATCTAATACAAAACTCCTACTTAAGAAAAAGTTGGTTTTAAGTTAGGTAACTTAAAAGGTTAGTATATAGATTCTAGCTCTATAGGGTAATAGAGAGGTAATTTCTCCTAGTAAAGGGAAGTAGATACTATAGGGGCTTCTCTTATGCCTTTTGCTTCTCTTAAGGTGCTTAGTAAGCAATCTTAAGGTATCTATAACACAGTCTAGTCGTATGTGTTACTAGGCTCTTTTATAGCTTATATATACCTTTAGGAACTTCTAGACATAACTAGGATCTTCTAAAGCTTCTAGTATACTATAGGGGCGAGCCTTAGGTCTACCTTCTCTTTTCTACTTCTCTTTTAAAGTCTTATAGGTAAAGAGAGAACCTATACTACTAAAAACCTCTTTATAGACACACTATAAACCCGGGCTTAGAACCTGTTCTACTAAGTCCCTAAAAGGGTGTCCTAATAACAGTTTTATATAGGTATAGCTATAGCGGAAGGTGTCTATAAGGTAGGTAGGTAGTAGGAACTAATATATTAATTAAGTTAATTATCTAGAGCGATATATAATCCTCCTAAACTTAGAGTTCCTAGCTATAGGTTACATAACTAAATTATATAACTAGCCCTATCTAGTACAGCCGCTAAGGACTGTACTTTCTAATAAGAAGAAGAGATCTACGAAGAGAAGAGATCTATAAAGAGAAGAGATCTACGAAGAGAAGAGTTCTACGATATAGAGAAAAGTAGAGATCTATAAAGAGAAGAGAAGAGACTAGTAGAGAGAAGAGAAGGGACTTACGAAGAAGAAAGGAGCGACTAGTAGAGAGAAGAGACTAGTAGAGAGGACGGCCTAGAGCTATAATAGAGATTACTACTAGCTATACTAGAACATACGTAGGACAAGGAGTATAGATCTTAAATTATAAAATCCTAGAATCCTAAAATCCTGAAATCCCGATATCCTAACTAAAATATCCGTTATATAGATCCGGAGCTCCTTATTTAGAGCTCTCAGGCTCCTATAGCGGTATATGTACCTTCTAGCTTGATTGGGAGTAGCTTAGTAACTTGAACAAACTCGGGGGAAAGGCATCGAGTTGCAATACATGAACAGTTAGTAAACTGATCATGTCGCTCCGAAACGGGGCTATTGGGTGAGCATCCGTCGCGCATGTCGATTCATAGGGCCTCTCTATGTCGCATTCCTAGGGATAGTACGGGTATATCTGGCTTTCGCTTCAATACAAGCATCGCCACGCACAAGGCTTAAGCGAGCCTTTGAGAGCGCATGTAATGTGGTCGAGCTTCAGAAAGAGGCATGAATTGCGTGCAGGTACTGAGAAAGAACGATGTTCGGATCTCCGCCATCTTCGGCCGAGCTTGGTACGACATGTCCGTTCTTGTCGGCCGAAGAGTTTCGCCTTAATACCTGATGTTAAACGTGAGTATAGCCATGTATAAGAGAATCGAATGTTTCGACAGACGACCAGAGAAGCAGCAATCTTTTGATCTCCCTCGGGAACGATGAACAAGACACTTGCCGTTGTGAGCCAAAGTGGCGAGACGATCAACTTTTTCAACATCGAGGACGGAAAATGCACTGGCCAGGTGGAGAATCTCATACCGGAGCCGCATGAGGTAGCGTACGACGACCGGTCCAATTTGTTGTATGTCACCCACGCGTACAGACACGGCTGGTACGCACAGCATGGCGAGGCTTGCGCCGAGGTCAGTGTCATCGATTGTGGGCGGAGGGAAGTCGTGGATGTGATGGACATCGGTCCGCATCGAGGACCTCACGGCATTTTCCTAGACACGCACCGTGACCTCTTGTATGTCTCCACGGAAGAAGGGCTGGAGGATAATGGAGGCCCCGGTGGCATTGTCGGAATCAACATTAAGACTCGCGAGGTGGTCAAGGCAGTTGGGGCGGGGTGGAAAGTCCACTGGTTTGTCCTCACGCCGGATGGGAAGAAGGTCTTTACTTGCAACAAGGAAGCGGGATTCATCTCGGTCTTAGACATGGAGCAGGAGAAGATGGTCGGCAAGATTGACCTTCCGGGAGGATGCGAAGCACCAGCGATATCGAATGATGGCAAGCTGGCGTACTTTCCGAGTCCGACGATTGCGCTCGGAATGAGGAGAGAAGGCAAGCCGGGCGACTTCCACATTCAAGTCATCGACACAGCCACATGTGAGTTGGTCCGAGCCGTCCCACTGGAATTCGGAGCGGTTGCCTTGGGTGTGGATCCGATGGATAGACTTTTCGTCGGTCAATATCGGACCTCTGGAGCTTCCGCAGAGGCACAATTGCAAGAGCCGATGCCTGGCGAGTTATCGGTCCTGGATCCCGGGAATGGGTTTCAGAAGCTCGCATCGTTCCAAACTGACTCGGTTCCCTTGAATGTCTGCGCTGCACCCGTTGGCAGTCGAGCATTTGCGGCTAATATTTTTGCCGGAACGGTCAGCGTGCTCAATCTGGACGAGATGAAGAAAGAGAGGAGCATAGAGGTGGACATTTTGCCGAGGGAGGACAAGTTGTTGCATCAGGGAGCGCATGAAATGGCACTAATTCCTTGAAACGAGAGGGCCAGATCTTGTACGGCATTCGAGTTCATTTGAATGAATTGAAGCTTTCGGGGAAAGTGTTGTGATCAGTGAAGTTGATGCCAAGATTGACCTCGGTATCCAATGCGTTCCGGTACCTATGTCGAATGGGAGCGGAGTAAGCGAACTCCGTATGCCAAGTCTTACGCCGAAGGATTGAGTTCAGTAGTGACGGTAGATACATGTACCTCGCTTTCGCACTTGCTGTCAGCATATATAGACGTGCTCGCTGCTTGCGAAATGATTCCCAGCTTTCTGATCGTACAACAGCCCACCGAAGAATATGGAGCAAACGAGGCTAAGTCATGCTGGCGCGCAGTGCTTCTCGGAGACAATCCTACACCGTCGTGTCCTGAAAGGGGAGAGATGGTCGTCCAGGCCTCAGAAAGTCGACATTGTATGGGCGTAGGATATACGAAAGAATTGGTGGTGAAGAGAGAATGAAGACAAGTTCACGCCAAGAGCGGACACATGTTCATCTTGGCCGAGACGCTTGGACCAGGACGAATTCCTTATCACGACATGGCCAAATCTCACACGACATCTTCCTCCCTCCGTTCTCCTCCACCTTTGCCGCTCCCGTTCGGCCAATCCGCTGCGTACACTACCTGCTACTATGCATACGTCGGTGGGTTGACCAGCGAAGATGGTGTGTCGTCCGAGCAAGCCTTCGCCATGGGTTCCTCTTGCCATGGGTTTATCTTGGCCACGGCCGGCTCCTATCGCCATCCACCCGGATAAGCACGCCATGCTTTCTTTCGCTGTCTTTACTACACGATCCGGCCATGCTTGACCAACGCCATTATCGATGCCAACTGGCCCCCGAGGGACTAGTCTACTTGTTCCTGTCCACCTCCATCCGAGCGGGCATGCGTCCTATTGCAATCGCCGAGCTTCTGGAGGCCTTCGTGCTTCTGTGCATATACTCTGCGACTACCATCTCGATCTTGCGCGAGATCATTGGATGGCGCTTGGGGAACAACCTGGGAGGATACAGTACTCTAGGGGACAACTTTCAAGGATGCCCTGCTTGAGCTGCTACATCCACCAGCTAAAGGCCAAGGTGGGGCCGCTCTTGTCTCCGTCCTACCCTTTACTTCTCTCCGTCCGAGATTGTTTTCGTACGCTGCAATCAAGCGGCGTCGATTGGACTAGCCACCTTGCACGCTTTGCCTCATTCAGTTACGGACGCCGCGCTCATGATTCCAGGCGTTCTAGCCGACCTCGCGGGCTCAGGGCGTAGATGATACAAGAGATGGATGGTACGCACTCGTTTGGATGCAGCGCTCGTGTCTTCACAATCCCCCCCCGCGACAGCTGTCGCCAGCTCACAGTCATGTGTAGGTCACACACTCTTCGCCGTTGATGAAACGCCGCTCGAAACAGATCCGATCACTGACAGACAGAAAACAGCCGGTACTGCGGCAGGAGAAGTCATCGCCGACGTGATCGCGAGCAGAGTGCCCGCCGAAGTTGCCAATCCTCATGGAAAGAACAGCTTCGCCCTCGACGATGGCGTTTCCACTCGGGATCCATCCTACGCCAAGAGAGTCAGCGTCGATGTCGAGGCAGTCGGAGACCGCACCGCATCTGTCATCGAGCGAGAGCTTTACCCTCAGCCCACCGAAGAGGAAGCTCGCACTCTCCGCAAGGTCGTCGACAAGATCCCAACGACTGCCTACCTGCTATGCGTTGTCGAGCTTGCGGAGCGTGCCTCATACTATGGTGTTCAGACCATCTTCTCCAACTTTATGCAGTTCCCATTACCGACTGGGTCTCGCACTGGAGCTACTGGTGATTCTGAGGAGACTGCAGGTGCCCTGGGCCGAGGACTCCAATTCTCCAACGCCTTTACATTGCTATTCTCTTTCTTGGCATACATCGTTCCCATCTTCGGAGGTTGGCTGGCTGATACGAAACTTGGACGTCTCAAGACCATATTACTGGGAGTCCTGATCTGCGGTGCCGCTCACGTCATTCTCATCGTTGGCGCCATTCCGTCTGTTCTAGTTGCCGGAAACGGCCTTGCGCCATTCATGATCCAACTCATCCTGCTGGCCGTCGGTGCTGGTATCTTCAAACCTAACGTCGCACCCACTTTGCTGGATCAATACAAGCACCAGAAGGCATACGTCAAGGCACTGCCTTCCGGCGAGCGGGTCGTCGTCGATCCTGAAGTTACCATCCAGCGGATTATGCTGCTATTTTATGCATTCATCAACGTTGGAGCCTTCTTTGCCATCGCCACGTCTTACGCGGAGAAGTACGTTGGATACTGGCTGGCATACCTACTTCCCGGTATCATTTATTTCCTCTTGCCAGCTCTGCTCTGGTACCTCTACCCGAGGCTCATCAAGTACCCGCCAAACGGAAGTGTCTTGAACAATGTCGGGAAGATCATTGTCGTGGCATTCAAGCAGAGCAAAGGTCAATTCTGGAAACAGGATTCTTTCTGGCGATCGGCCATGCCAAGCGAATTATCCAAGAAAGGAGTAACCACTTTCAACAACAAGCCTCTTTCCTGGACCGACAAGGATGTCGATGATATCAGACGAACGATGATTGCCTGCGCGGTCTTCCTTTACTTTCCAATCTACAACTTGAATGTAAGCTTCGAAATCACCTCTCGAGACCGTAGACCATACTAAATCTTCCTCAGGACGGTGGTATCGGCTCCGTATCAACCAGTCAAGGATCTACTATGACTACTGAAGGAGCTCCCAACGACCTTCTCGTGAGTATTGCCCTCCACAAAACACCGCATCCACACTAACCATTCCATTCTCCAGAACAACTTCAACCCCTTGACAATCATCGTCTTCGTCCCGTTCCTCTCCTACGTCGTCTACCCGCTCCTCCGGAAATACAACATCCCCTTCGGCCGCATCAACCGCATCACCTTCGGCTTCCTCCTCGCCTCCCTCTCCGGCGTCGCCGGCGCCGTCGTCCAATACTACATCTACCAGACGTCCCCCTGCGGCTACTACGCTACCGACTGCGCCATCGGCACCGGCGTCTCCCCGCTGACCATCTGGCTGCAACTCCCCAATTACATGCTCAGCGCCATGTCGGAATGCTTCTGCAACGTGACGGCCTACGAGCTCGCCTACGCCCGCTCCCCGCCGGGCATGAAATCCCTCGTCATGTCCCTCTTCCTCGCGAGTACGGCGCTCTCCTACGCTCTCGGGGAGATTGTCAGCCCCGCGATTAAAGACCCCTATCTGATCTGGATCTGGGCGGGTCCGGCGATTGCGCTGTTCGTGCAGACGATTATTTTCTGGTTCCGGTATCGGCGGTTTAATGATGATGAGTTTATGACTTATGAGAAGGTGGAAGGGGTGGATGCTGAGAGTCGGGCTAGTGGTGAGGTGGAGGAGGAGGAGAGTGTGGAAGGCGTTGGACCAAAGGGTGAGAAGGAGCAGTAGCGAAATAGATGCGTGATCTCAGAAGTGCGTAGCATCCCTCAAGTTTCATGAGTCCTCTGCTCAACGCGCAACTCCAGCCAGCCGCGCGGAGGCTTTCCATATGACTTTCGATCTCTCATGCCCACCGGCTTTGAACCAGTTCTGCCGAAGCAATGCAACATCTATGGTCGTCCTCGAAAGTTTGGAATTTGGCTTCTAAGGACCTGTCCATTTAATTCTACGGGCTTGCTGCCGAACGGTGTTTGGCAAGTCCAGATGGCTATGCAGTACCATACTGTGACTTGAGCAGATCCGAATTGCTATGTCGAGAGTTCGGAAGAAGAACAGGAATGTCCTGCTAAGCTGGTGGGATAGATTTCGATAGGCAAGACCACCCGGGCCGTTTGGCTGGGTTTGAGCTGCAGAATAAAGTCCTTAGGAGAATGGTTCTAACATGGCCGTTCTGGGTTTGAGCAGCAGAATGACTCTACCATACCCGTTCTGCTGGGCTTGAGGAGCAGAATAAAGTCCTTAGCAGAATGGTTCTACTACAGCCGTTCTGCTGGGTTTGAGCAGCAGAATCGCTAGCCGTCCCACTGGGCTTAAGTAGTAGGAGAAAGTCCCTTGTAGAATGAGTCCACTCTAGCCGTCGTGCTAGGTTTGAGCAGCATAATAACTGACCGTCCCGGTGGATCTGAGCAGCTGTATGAAGTCTCTGGCAGAACGAACCCACCCTAGCTGTTCTACTGAGTTTGAGAAGCAGAAAAAAGTCCCTAGCAGGACGATGCTGCTTCCTTGGCAGAACGTAACCATTCTGCTGAGCTTCCAACCCGAGGATCGAGCATTCTCAAATCGACAAGCCCTAGGTATGTCGAGGCGCAGCAAAGTACCTTATCTCGGATGTTCTACCAGGGTGAAGATGTACTGTGCATGATTCGGCAATCACAGCTTGTGATTGCAGCTCCGAGGTCGTCGCTGTCACGGCTGAGCTCCTGTTGTGTAACACACCATGTCATGTCACGAGCGCCGCCCGCGAGCTGCTGTCGTTGGCAAGGCTGAGGAGGCGTAGCCTCGGAGTATTCGCTTATATCCTCTCTAGTCTTCCCGTTCTTCCACTCTTCCTACGAGTCGTCCACTTTGCTTTCAACACACATCGTCAAGGCAGGTCTGAAAGCTTTGACATTGGAATGAAAACTGAAAAGAGAGCTCGAAATGGAGCGCACCGAGGTGTCTCCCGAAGAAGCCAGCGAAGGCGGATGGCAGGTCGTCGAGAGCAAAAGCTCTCGTCGGAAGCGCATGCAAGAGCAAACACCCTCGCAGACACATGGGGCCAGATATGGAAAGAACCGTAAGAAGCGGAACAGGAAGTCCGATTCAGCCCCCAACAAGGGCCAGAAAGACTCGTTCAACACAGCAAGACCGATTGAGCCCGTGCCTCCAAAAAGTCGAAGGTCCCATCACAAGCACATCTACTCCCCGCTCCAATGGGAACAACACGACATCAGGATCCTGGTCCTGAAGGCTGGAAAGTGGCAGATGCCTCTGAAAGGTGACCTGCTCCAGCGGCCACTTGCGTGGGCGGAAAAGACGGGATTTGAGACAATTTCGTACTGCTGGGGAGAACCGAATGATCAGGGCACTATCAACATCAATGGATACCCTCTGGGGATTCCAAATTCGGCAATTGAGGCTCTTCGACAGTTCAGATACGAGGATAAGGACCGTCTTCTTTGGATCGATTCGATTTGCCTCAACCAATCCGATGTGAAAGAGCGTGGCCATGAGGTCGCTCGCATGCACCATATCTATAGTCGCGGCCGGAAAAATTTGGTATAGCTAGGACCCGATGATGATGATGGGACTGGAGCTACAGGATTTCAGACTTTACGGGACATTCTGGATGATATAGAGGCAAATGCGGAGGACAAATTGATGTTCGCGGAGCTTATGGCAGACCCGGTGGCAGAAGCGAAGCGGCTCCAGAGGCGTCTCATTCTACACGACCCATTCCCTTTGCTTTGGCTTTTTGCAAAGCAGTGGTTCAGGAGACTGTGGGTCGTGCAAGAAGTGGCGCTTTCCCGAGAAAATGTCGTGTGCTGCGGAAAAAACACTGCTGATCTTGTCAATATGTTGGAAGTATTCTTCTGGCTCGATAGAGACTATTGTAAGGACGGCAGCGATGTGTCGCTAGTAACCTGCACTTTGTGGCGGCCTTTGCTAGATATTAGAGATTTCGTCGATCCAGACGGCTCCTACACATTGCGACTTGGGGAGAGGAAACCAGATCCAGACGACCTATGCAACCTCCTGAAGTCTCTCAAATGTCATAATGCCACGGACCCAAAAGATCATATCTACGGCATGCTAGGTCTGTACCAAAGTCTCTCGGACGGCGCAATTCCCGAATTGCTTCAACCGGACTACAGCAAGGATGTAATGACCGTTTACCGCGATGCAACGCGATGTGCGATATATCAAGCACGTAGCCCGGACCTACTAGGCATGATCTGCCATCGATTATGCGACGATGGGAAATATGAGCGACGAACACCATCTTGGGTGCCACGCTGGGATCGCAAATATAATTTTGAGCTTGACGAAAGCCGCTTACACTATGACTTCGACGCCGCACTTGGCACTTCTACTTACGAGGGACCGCATGAGCCCGATTCATATGATTCCGTCGACCTGCGGGGCTTGTTTGTAGGTTCTCCAGAAGAAGCAGCTGTAGCACAACTCTCAAAAACATACACACCCGAAACAGATCTCGGCTTCTTTATGGACGAGAGTTTGGGACTGTTGAAATCTACGACAGCATCCCGCATTTATCGAGATGAAGAGGCAGCAGTTTTGAGAGCCTTGGTTGGTGGTGTTGATGATTACTTTTGTCTCTTGGGCCCAGATGTGGTTCCCCCGTTAAGTGGATTACAGACCTATCGGCAGACACATTGTGAACTCCCACCGTTGTTTTTTGGACCTTCCTGTGGATGCGACCGACGAGGAGATAGGGATCTCAGAGTGGCTTGAAGCTATAAACTATGCTTCTGGTCGTCGTCGCTTTTTCATAACAGCAGGAGGTCGAATAGGTCTCGGACCACAGACGATGCGCCTTGGAGACATTGCCGTTGTCTTGTATGGAGGTTCATGGCCTTTCATTCTTCGCTACCACAAAGACGGCGACGACTACGAATTCATTGGCTGGTGTTACATCGAAGGCATCATGTTCGGCGATGCGGTCGAGGAACATCGAGCTGAGGGGAGGGAAGATGTGATGTTTCACATTCTCTGAGACTCACCAACAGGATGATACGAATCCATCCTGAGCCGGACCGAGCATGTAAGAGACTTGTGATTCTTCTTCATATCGCCGCAAGAAGTGGCACGATCAGCAACCTTGCTTCAGTAGACTATTTCTCCACGGTAGCACTCCTGAACAAGAGAGCCATGCATGGCCGCGAACAGGAACTACTCCTCCAACTCCGACTACCTTCGAGCCCAGTAGGATCAGGAGCACAGCCGAAGACGACGCATTCCAAGATCTGTATTCGTTAGTCGTCCATACACAATGCCAGCCGTTAAAGGAGGAAAAGAGGGTGGGAATGGAAGCGAGATGGAGCATCAATTCGTTTTCACGATAGAATATCGCATCAATAGTCAAATCATTGGATACAAAACTCTAGATTCAATCCTGTGCTCACATTCCTTACGCCTCGCTAATCATCCATAAGACCAAACCCCGACATCCCTATTTCGTAGTAAAGTCACATTCTACGACTTTACATCCCTACTCATCCCCCTCAACCTAGGCGCCCCTAAACATATCAGACCCAAGGAATATGCCACCCAACGCCACAAGCCTCTAAAGACTCGAAGCCTACCTGAATCCCAACCCTTTATACATCTAAATTGGCTTACTCTCAAGATAAGGAGCATTTTCCTATATACATACAGGTTGTTACCACTAAGTAGAGAACCCATACTAAGACGGAATGATTGAGTCCGCGCCGTTCTGTTAGTCCATGACCTAATAAATTTTCCGACTCCTTCTCGATCGTTGCGCGAAAATACTCGCTACCGCTTCGATCTGTTATGGCTCCACTGTCTCGACGACGTTCAAGAATTACTGTACTTAACGAGTCGGACCCAATTCCAGAATGACGTGGAGAGTAGATGCGAGCTTCTCATTCAAGATCAAGCTAGCGGTGGAAAGGCCAATATTGTCTGCAAGGGACGAAGGGAGCGACTTTGAGCAAGCAGACCTTGTACGGAAGCTGCCTCTTTAGGCTTTGCGTACAGGTTCAAGAAGACGACGGTCATTTGGAAAACAGGTCCGATGCCTAGCCCTGAGACGACTTCGAAGCCGTAGAGTTCGTGTGCGATCGTTGGAATAAAGCCTGTACTAATTATAAGGCCGCAGCCGGGTATAATACATACGCTGCCTGAGGCGAGGGTGTAGATATTGTCTAAAGAGGCCTCCGCCTAGTATAGAGCCCAGGTAAGATCGGGGACTAGTAATGCGCAGCCGGCAACATCTAGCTATCTCCAAGTAATGCGGCCGGGAGTCTTGGTTGGGGCTAAGACAAGTGCAATAATGAAGCTGCAATAATAATGTTAAGGTAGCGGATCCGTCGCTATGTCGAGTTACTAGGAATGATACCTCCGAGTTGTTTCCTTGTGAGACAATCAGTTATATGCTTCCTATGTAGCATCGGGCTTAGACACCTACAGCACCCCAGATACAGTAACAGCTATACCGATACATGCAGTCGAAAGCGGGAAATGCTTGACGAGAGTCATTCCCAGTAGCGTAGTGAAGGAGAGAGCATACAACCCGGCGTCCCAGCGCCCTGAAGAGCTCGAAACGGTGATATACGACATAGCAAGGTGAAAGGTTAGCTAGTGTGTCATACACAGCGAACGAAGTAGACACAACGATATAAGGACCGCCTACAGTATAGGCGGTAGACAAGTTTGAGGATGGCCACTGCCCTTGATTATCGAAACTGCTTGTCAGACTACGAAAGACTAACAGCTAGCAAGAAGGCGAGCCTTGATTATAATTGCCTAGTGCAAGCATTAGCGTTCAAAATCTTTACTGGCTGACTGAAGGGACTTAACAATAGAGTCGACCAAATCCTTCCGATAATAGCGCTTGCTTTTGTGAAGATAAGAGCATAGCCTGCGAGCGCTCGTCAGTTTAAGGACTTATGTAGAGCCATGCAGGTAAGTTACGCAGGTAGGTAGGTATGTAAGCAGTAAGGCCAGCACGATCCACTGCAGTTAATTGACGTCGTCAAAATGCCGTCTAATAGTCACCAATGCAGTTGCCACAATAGAAGAATCTATGAAGCTCAAGACCAAACAGAATATCAGACTATTTGATCGGTATGTTAGCGATTACCCGAGAAGTACTTTCCACCGAGTTGTAAGAGCCCTCCTGGGAAAATCGAGGGGTCCGATTGACGTACCAGAATTCCACAACGTGTAGCTGCAATCGCCCATAGGAACGCCCTCGTTCCGTTTATTGTTGCTCCTCTCGAAGTCCGCAAGATTCTGTTCGGACGCTGAACTTTGCACTTCCGTTGTGTGTTCTGGATCCATTGGATAACTCGCAGCGGAGAAGACTCTCAGCATTCCTCTTATCAATCGAATTGCCAAAAGATACCGATCTTGCGGCGCCAGAACGGTGTAGCAACGATACGCATGGAAGTCGAGATGTAGAGCAAAACTTGTACACCAGACAACATGGCTTCACGGCTTTCCAGACCTCGCGAAGCTATGAGTATCCAGCTCCTACGGCCGTAAGACTGTGGCTTCCCAGCTGGACGGCTCCCAACGAACGTCACATTAGAGCTGAGATGCGTGGTCCATAATGTCCGTTGTTGCTGTGGTAACCTCACCAGTAGCCGGTGGTCTTACGGTGAGTCTTTGATGCTGTCGAAAGTTCCAGAAGCACATCTCGCATGTTGAATGTGGATTGGCATGTGAAGTGAAGGTGAGAGGAGGTGATTTTTATAGGCGCGAGGTGGTATTTGATGATCTCCATGAATATGAGCATCAATATTTGAAGCGAGGCACGGCTCGTCGGCCGCATCCCGGCCGCTCACCCGTGCCGCACCTTCCTCAAGACTTGACATAGCAGTTTCTGTTTACTTCATATTCTCAATGGCTCCCCATGGACGATACAACAACAACAACCGTCATGACTCGCAAGAACAAGCGCAAGGCGGAGCGTGAGCCGGATGGCGCTCCAGACGGCCACAAAGTGAGCCTCGTCCCGGACACAGTCATCACCGACCCCGAGATCCTCAAGCGCACCATCTTGGCTCCCTTCTACAACCGCATTCAGGCCGATGCCAACACCATCGCCCACCTGCAAGATGAACTGCGCGGTCTGAGAAGCGGCAACCAGATCGAGCAACCCGATCCGGACATCTCCCCCGCGAAACTGCCCCAGGCGCACCCTCTGGCCACCCAGATCCGGCAGACTCTGGACGATCCAGCACCGGATGAGAGTATCCATCTCTGCGGTCTCGCTCCTCTGCGTATCATCGACAACCGACCGCACGACGTCCTCGCTCTTGCCAAGGAGAAGCTGCACGCATGGCCCTTCAACGACGTGCCGACCTGCTGGCGGCGTCTCTACGAGGAGGCATCTCTCTACATTGTCGTCGACTTGCTTGACCGCATCGCCGCCAACTTCTTCGCCGAGCATGTCGACACGCTGGTGGCGATCATCAAGCAGCTCGATGCCGCAGTCGTTGTTGCAGGCGCTCCGGGGCGGAAGGAGCTCATCGAGGAGGTTCTGAAGCAATTGGAAGGTACAGTTCCCCTATTCATCCCATCCCGCACTCTCCAACTCTGACATGCAGCAGATCCTCTTTCCCATGTTTCGATCCCTGAGTGGCCTCGTGGCTGGATCGTGCAGCGGCCCAGCAGCTTGCAGACCAATTTCTCCATTCCACGCGCCTCTTACATCTGGGCCATCGACTGCTTCCAGATTCACCTCAACAATACCGCCTCTCCCGTCATCATACCCAGCGCCTTGATCGAATGGCCCGCAATGGAGCTCTGGCAGGACCCCAACTACCTTCGCCAGCGAACGCTTGGTGGACACCGTACCGTCCCGGTCGAGATCGGCGAACACTACCTGGACCCCTCGTGGAATCAGGAGCTCATGACCTTCAATGAATTCGCCACCGAGTTTCTCCTCCCAGAGCACCCCCAACATACCGGCTATCTTGCACAGCACGATCTCTTTGCACAGATCCCGGCGCTGCGAAACGACATTCAGATTCCCGACTACTGCTACACGCACCCGCCGCGGGCTCGAGGCGCCGCTGCCCACACCGCCGGCTTAGCCACGACCAAGAAACTCACCGAGCCTCTTCTGCACGCCTGGCTTGGACCCAAAGGCACCAAGACCCCTCTGCACACGGATCCATACCACAACATCCTCTGTCAGGTGGGTAGACCCCGGTATTTCTCCCTTCCAAATCCCCCACTCATTGTCTGCCCATTCAGGTCGTCGGCTACAAATACGTCCGCCTCTACCCGCCCACGGAGACGGAGAAACTCTACCCGTCCGGCATCACCGGCGCGGGCATCGACATGCGGAACAACTCGCAGGTGGACGTGTCGCAGTGTCGTCCTGACAGGGCCACGACGGATCTCGACAAGCTCCGCGAGACGCAGTGGAAGTTCCCACTCTTCCAGGAGGCGAAATATGTCGAGGCGATCCTGGGGCCGGGGGAGTCTCTCTACGTCCCATTGGGCTGGTGGCATTTCGTGGAGAGCTTGACTGTGAGCTTTTCGGTAAGTTTTTGGTGGAATTGAGTGATGTCGCGGACGGGGATGAAGGGTCGAAGGAGCGGTGGAGACGGTGGAGTGCTTTGTTTGCTGGTGTTTGACGTATGATACCCCTGTATAAATAAGTGAGAGCGTGGAGCATGTCATCGGCGCATAAGGAGGAGTACAAGGATAGCGAAGACGACACCCACGACGGCCATAGCATGAATAAAGTCACTCGGTGTTCTGTACAAAGCAAAGCAAATCAAAAATGGGAATATCAACTCCGAAAACGCCCCCCGGCAGCAAGCCAGTCGTCAGTCAAGTCAGTCAAGTCGAAAACTTCACTGTACCGTACACGCCCAACCACTCCGATTCCCCTCCCTCTCCAACTCCCCCACCCGCTCCTCCACCCTCGCCACCCCCTTCTCGAAATCCCCCACCCCAGCTTCCACATCTTCCACCTTACTCCTCAGCGCGGAGATCTCATATTCCAACTTCGCGGCCATGGTCTCGATTTCCTTGACGTCCTCCTCGAACGTCTCGCGGTTCTCGCGCAGGAGGCCCTCCGAGTGCGTCTGGATCTCCCGCACGTTCTGCAGGTGCGGGTCGTGGATGGTTTCGGTCAGCAGGGAGAGGTCTCGCTCTTGTTTCTGGAGGAGGGTCTGCCGGAGGAGGGAGATCTGGGTCGCGGTCCAGGAGGCCGTGTAGGTTTGGAGGTGTGTGATGAGGTGGTGCAGGGATTTTTGCTTGTTCGCGAGGAGGTTTTCGGATTTGACTTGGGCGTAGAGAGTGGAAGAGGGGTCGTGGGAGGGGTTGGTTTCGGCGGAGGAGGAGGAGGAGGAGAGGAAGGAGTCCCAGTGGAGGATGCTATCCTCCGCGAGACTGAAACTCAAATGGCGAGGGTAGGCGGCTGGGTCGTGGGATTGGAGCTTGATGTCGATGAACTGGCTGTCCGAGATCGTGCGGCGGAGCAGGTGGCTCGTGTCTGCTTCGGTCTCGGGGCCTGTGGGGAGGACGTCGTTGAGGTCGATGCCGTTGTAGACTGACCCTGCGATGGAGGCGCTGGCTGTTGCTGTCCGCGAAGGATCGGTGTCGTTTCTGTCGTCCTGTTCATCTGTGCTCTGGTCCGGGTTGTAGCTTGGAAAAGGCGTCAAGCTTTCGTTCGATCTCACTTTGCTCGGAGAAGCATCTCTCGTCGATCTCGACTCGACGGTATCGGCGCGCTCTCGCCCAAGAGCGACGTTCAGGCGGTCCGACTGTTCTGCTACGGCGGGCATTGGTGGAATATCCTTCTCTGGGCCTTTGGCGCTACTCGGACTGCTGATTGGGCTTGAAAGCGCTCTCTTCAGCAGTGGCCTCTTGTCCTTGTTGTCTCGTTCCGTCGGTGACGTGGGAGCCGGCTCCCCGGTAGAGTGCTTGTGCTTGTGACCACGCAGTCCCACAGCTCCACGAACTTTGCCAAGACCAGTCTTGGCATCATCTTTGAAAGTGGTTGCTCGTTTGAAGAATGAATGGTTGGCATCATCACTATCATCCCCTCCTTCAACTGAAGCCGGTCGGTTGTAGTCGTCGCCTGCGTGATGATACGAGTGCCTCTGTATTGGGGCCGGTTTGTCATGGGAACCCGCTCGAGCGATCCAGGTGAAGCCGCCATGGTCGTCGGGCTTGAATGTCAAAGCTTTACTGAAGCCTGGCTCTCCCTGCACTTCCTGCGGTAGCTGGCTGTCATGGCCCTTGGCTTTCTTCATCGGCTTGCCAAACCACAACCATTTCGCTCGATCGCCATATACAAGCTGCACAAAGCGTTCCATGTCGACGGTCTCGATTTCAGCAATCCCTGCACGGTCTCTCCTGCCCACGGCTTCCATCACCATCTCACCGCCTTTGCCGCTGAGTTCTGCGACTGTCGACTTCACAGCTTTCGGCACCGCCCACCTCTCCTTCTCGGCCGCTTTCTGCGTGACCTTGTGCAGTCGGTCCAGAGTCCTGCGGTCTAATCTCCGCGTGCGAGTCACTCGCTGTTGTCGCTGAAAATGGCCAATCGCACGCTTCATGGCCTCCACATCGAAGGCATCTTTGGAGACGGGCGCATTCACGGCATGCAATCTGTTCCGCGCTCCCATGAGCAATCCGAGCAAGCCGGCCACGGTCGTTGGTCCCAGGATCCCGTCATGAGGCTCCATGTTGTAGTACTCGCTTCCAATATCCACCCACCAGTCGTTGATGGCCCTTTCAGTGACGTCGCATAGCAAGCCATCGGCGTAGTCGGTCTCCAATTTGTCGAATAGCGTCAAGGCGCTCTGACACAGCTTGACAAGTTCCAGCACGGCCCGGTAGATGTCGTTTTTATCGCTGGTCCTGAACAGCTGATGGAACTTGACGACTGTGGTTGCGGCCGGTTGCGACAGACTGAGGCCTGTCCGCCCCGAGCATCCCAATCGCTTCAGATCTTCATTGACGAAGAAGTCGAATCGATGTTTGCGCACATCGCCGTCTGGGACGGAGATGACCGTCAGGGAGGATGGAAAGCCGGAGAGGTTCGTGACCATGAGGATGCCGAGTGGAGTGTCCCGTCGCCTCGCATGGAACTGATTGAGTGCCTTGAAGTAGACTCTCAGCCGCGGGGACCAGGTGTTCTCATCTATCGGCACACTCATAATACTCACGACTATCACATGTGCGGGATCACCGGTGTACGTTGTGATCATGAACGTGGGGTGTGCGCGCGAGGTGGTCCATTGCTCGACGACAAAACACTCGTACCCGCGAAGCTCCCGGCGGGAATCGAGGACCGTACACGAGCTGTCTTCTGCCAAGTAGCGGAAAGCGACGGGATCTGCGAGCACGAATCGTTGATAGCCATGCTGTACCGGCACATCCACCTCCTCGGCCATGGGATAGCGCTCCACATTGGGAGTGTGCAGCTTGGGTGAGATGGGAGTTCCGTTCTGGTCGGGCGCCGATGCATCTGACAGAGCCGTCTCCAGCGGCGGCGGCCTCTTCCGCGAGTAGTCCAAAGAACTGCGGCCCGTCATGATGGTAGTGTCTTGAGTGTATCTCAAGGTGTGGTCGCACAGGTCATGTTGTCTCCCGTTCCACGCGCCTCGTCGTCCTTGGCGCCGTCGTGTCCAGCCTCTACCGTATTCAGCCCATCGACGCAGACCATAAGATGATGATTTCCAATAGCAGTGACTGCGGCATTCAGGGAATTGAGGTTATTTGCGGGGAGTGAGAAAGATGTTGTGTCGATGTTGGGACGTTTCAAGATGTGAGGTCGGCAACGGAGAGAACAGTCAGCAATACGGCGGGCCGTTACATAACAGTTATCTCGACATAACTACAGTCCCCTCTTCTCTACTTTCGCTCGCCAACTGTATATAAGGTATATATCTCTAGTACTCAGTATCTCGTAGCTCTGGGAAGCCCGCCTCAATCTCCTCGTCAGCTGCATTGCGAACAAAGTTTGCTTTCTTCATCGGCACCTTCTCGAATGGACCGTGTTAAATCGATGCGAACTCCGCATGAACTTCGATTGCAGCTGTCTTGGAACCTTCGACAGTGGCGGTCTGCGACTTCCACGTGGCAGCATTGTCATTGTCGCAAAGCAAGTACTATAATGAAGTGGAATGATCCCAAATCCGACGATCTGGTCTGGTGTCTCGCTGATATGCCCTATATGATTGTACAGAATATGAACCGCCTCAGGACCATTTGATATCACGGTCGAGACCGAGAAATTTCGGAAAGATATTGTTTTTCTCTTGATGGTTGTTGGTCATGTAAAGAAAGACTTAGCCGTACATCCCCACGCGAACCGTGTTTGAAAGACCTGTCTTACAGCATATTCTCCCAACGGTAAATGTTGAGTTAAGGGGATGTGAACGAGGGGCCATTTGCCAAGCGGACCCCGCTCCGCTCCGTCAGCTGCACCTCCAACCGGACCTCACACTACTACAACCGCAACCACATCTACCTTCTTCCCCCCTTCATACCGCACATGTGACACCACCGCAGATCTCGGGTATTCCCTACCGCACTCTCTTCGCTCCGCCAACGCCATCTACCAACTCCCCACGATGGACTCCATTCTCGCCGCCCACAGACAGCAGGAAGCCAAAGGCAACCTCAGCAAGACCCTCACGAGCGTGCAATCCCTCATCGATCTCCTCCAGAATACCCGCGATGCCGTGGCCTCGGATCCCGAAAAGTCCGCTCTCCATCTCGCGAAGCTCCAGAACCCCGTCAAGCAGTCGTTCAGCAAAGTGGAGGAGGATCTGAAAGAGGTCAACCGGGGTGTGAATGCGTACAACAAAGCGCTGAAAGATAAATTCAAGAGCGCCAGTCTGCCGAGTGCGGGGAATGAGGTGCTGAGCGGGAATCCGGATCTGGTGAATCGAGCGATTGCGATGCATCTCCTGAGAGAGGGCAAGTTTGACGTCGCGAGGAGGTTTGTGAGGGAGGTCAGCGAGAGCGAGAAGAAGCGGGACAACACAGACGATGGCGAGGAAGAAATGGAAGGCGTGCAGAGGAATCCTGCAAGGAGCTGGATGGAAGACCTCGCAGATGCGGACGATGCGATGCTCGATGGCATGGAAGCCGTGGCGGAAGCCGAGATTGAGAGAAGTGGACTGCAGAAGAAGTTTTCGGAAATGTACCACATTCTAGATGCGTTGCGCAATCAGCATAATCTGGAACCCGCGATCGAGTGGGCGCGACAACACAGCTACGAACTGGAAAATCGGGGATCGAACTTGGAATTCGAATTGGCCAGGTTGAAATTCGTAGAGCTGTATACCACGGAAGACATCATGTCGGACGACACCTTCGCCGGCCCACTGCGAGCACTGGAATACGCGAGGGAGACGTTCCCAACGTTCAGCAACCGCTACGCGCGCGAGACGTCCAGCCTCCTCGGCTCCCTCGCCTTCTCCCCCGAACTCGGCAGCTCGCCGTACAAACCCTACTTCAACAACATGTCCTCCTTCGAAGAGGCCTCGACCTCGTTCACGGGCGAATTCTGCGGCATGCTCGGCCTCTCGTCGCAGTCCCCCCTCTACACGGCCGTCACGGCCGGCGGCATCGCCCTGCCGATCCTCGAAAAGGTCGAACGCGTCATGGCGCAGACCCGCGGCCAGTGGACGTCGGTCAACGAGCTACCCGTCGAGACGCCCCTCCCGCCGGGCTTCCTGTTCCATAGCATCTTCGTCTGTCCCGTCTCCAAGGAACAGGCGACCGATGCGAATCCGCCCATGATGCTACCCTGCGGGCACGTCATTGCGCGGGAGAGCCTGGAGATGCATTCGCGGGGCAAGAATCGGATGAAATGTCCGTATTGTCCCGTGGAGGCGCAGCCCAAGGAAGCGAGGAGGGTGTACATTTAGATTTAGGTTTGGAAATGTGAATTGATAAAATCATTCTTTCACACGTAGTGTCTTTACAGTCATACAGTCAAAACACCAAATCGCTAAACCCTCCTATACATGTACACAACACGTGTCTAATAGGTGATAGCAGCCTTACTCCTCGCCCGCAGAGTCGGACCCCATTTAAACATGACAAACGCAAGCATACTCAACGCCGTCCCCAGCAGCGCCAACAACAATCCAGCCCACTGACTGCCCATACCATGGAACATCTGACTGGCGAAGAGCGGCGAGACGGCGCCGAGCGTGTTCCGCATCAGGCCCTGTCCCGCAATCGCCGAACTCGCGCTCTCCCCGTAGCAATCCGCCGTGTACGAGTACGTGCTCTCAAACACAAAGTAGATGCCAAACGCAATGGGGGCGAGGGAGATGGTCGGCGCAATCCACGGGAGGTAGCCGTACTGCGTGAAGGAGTAGAGGAAGAGGCCGATGGGGAACCACACGGCGCCCCACATGGCGCCGTAGAGGCGGTCTTCGGGTGTGACGCGCTGGTCGGGATCGTCGACAATCTTGTCGTATTTGCGCATCTGCAGGTGGTTCGCCGCCCAGCCGAGGGTCGTGCCGATGGCCAGGGAGATGTAGGGCAGACCGGAGACACCCTCGTTCCAGCCGCGCTTCTCGGAGAAGGTGATGGGGATGACGGACAGGAAGAGGAAGACGACGAACCAGGAGAAGGCGATCCAGACGCCGAAGGCGAAGACGACGGGTTCTGTGGCGAGCATGCGGATGGCCTTGACGGAGGAAGCTTTCAACATAGCCTGTAGCGAGGGCGTTTCGATTTCGATGGGCGAGACGTATCTCTCATCGCTGGTGATTTTCCGGAGGAGCTTGGCACGCTTTTGGAGCGCGGAGCCGCCTCGGGTTTCGGGAAAGAAGACGAAGATGCACAGGAGTAGGGGAATGTTGGACAGTCCTTGGATGCCTTCAATCCATCTCCAGCCAATCGTCAAATCGATGAAGCCCGCGTAGATCGGAGCCGAGACAGTACCGAGAATGGCGATGTATGAGAACATGGCCATGGGCTTGCCTCGCTCTCGCGGGACGTACATGTCGTCAAAAGTGCCACCCACGAGGATCGTGCCGACGCAACCGAAGAGACCAAGGAAGGCCCGCATGACGAGGATCGTGGCGATGTTCTTGCCCAGTGCCAAGCCAATGAAGCAGAGGGAGAAGCAGAGATAGGCGCCAGAGTAGACGATCTTGCGGCCTACGAGCTCGCAGAAGGGAGCAAGCACCATGGGCGCAATGGCGCAGACAAAGTTGAAGAGGAAGAGACCGACTTGTCCAATTTCCGAACTGACTCCAAACTCCTCACACATGGAATCGATACCCGAGCTGTATGCCGTCGTCGCCAATCCGATGAACAGGGTCATTCCGTTGAGCATGTAGCTGACGAAAGTCTTGTATCTCGGGTTCCAGTTGTATGGATTCTCGCAGTCGCCATTGGCGAACTTCAACTCCATGAAGTCCTTGCCGTCTTTCTGGATGACCTCGATGAGGGTCAGGGGCATGTCCTGTTCGATCTCGAGAAGGGGTCCATGATCGGCGTGTAGTCCGGCTTCCTTGTTCGCTTCGATGTACTTTCCGCCTACTATCCGTTGCAGTCCAAGCCCTGCGCCTGGCTGTACCTTCTCTTCTTGCTGTACCGATTGAGCGTCGGGAGTGTTGGTGTATGGGGTACCGACATCAGCCTTGCTCCAAGCAGAAGGCGTTCTTGAGGGACCTCCGGGCATTCGAGACATGATGGCGGAAGAGAGGAGACGGACTGCGGAGAGGAGAGGGCTCGTGGGTGGACGTTTTTCAGAAGCATTTTCAAGAGGGCAGCCCTACCTTTTGTGTGTCCACAGTATCCACGCTGCCGGGTCCTTCAGCCGTACTTTTCTGAGCAGTGTGGACGGCATGTGGTCACTAGAGACTGGTCGTCTTGGGCATGAGATCATGGTGGACCTGTGAAAGAGAGAAAAGGTGAGGCTCCACCATGTGGCCGCCATAGCACCGAAAGTACCGTCAAACTCGCCACGCCGGTCGGACCCTGCGCCTGAGGAAGTCCGATGCGCGAACATCGTTGCCAGGACGACATTGTCGCCGGATATTGTAGGAGAGGGCAACGTCATCGCACAATCTGTGAGTACTGTATTAGCAACATTAGCCTTGAGCAGCTCTCTTCTGCCGGTGTTGGTCGGAGTGAGGTCAGACGAGGGCGTGAGAGTGCTGGAAAGATCGCTGGCTCGGAGCGGTCCGAGGCTCAAGTCCTAGCGGCCCCGGGCGGCAAGCTCGGGACCAATGAAAACTCTGCAGGGCATTTGATGGCGTTAGGTTTTGCCCTTGGGGCAAGACTTCAATGGAGTCGTCGGCGGAGGATGGAACTTGATGCTCGAGAATGCGTGTGCGTCCTCCTCCGGATCACTCCGAGCCGAGCGGGAAGTCGAAAGAGGATAGCCGCTCGGCGATTCCCGTCTTCTTATGCAAGCGCTCTGGATCCGGCATACATTTGGAAGCACGGCCCGAACCGTTCTGTCCGAACGAGAAGACTCATGTCCTTCCGGTCTGCTGCCCGGCACAAACAGCCTCCCGTCATCACGTCGCAGTTCGCTCTTCGATCCAGGTCCAGGTCAACTGCCAGGTGCGAGTGTTATACGGTATTATTGTTGACAATCTCTTCAGTCAAGGCCACGAGAACGAATTCGTTCGGCTGACGTCGACCATGATATGTTGCTCGACAGTCTCTGCCTTGCTTCGCGATGGCAGCCGCAATCCGAGGTCCCAGGAGAAGTCGACGGCAGGTCCCTCATCACTGGCAGATCACGGACAGAGTACGGTGCTTGTGAGGTGTGTTGTTGCATTCGCGGGTGAAGGAATGAAGCAGAGGAGAGTGTGAAGAAGGAGGAGAAGTGGAAGCGACCTCAAGCCATGGAAGGACTTGGTATACTTTCACTTCGGCTGGAATTCTCCCGACCGCGAAGGCACAGTACACAGACAGTGCACAGACAGTACACAGACAGCACGCAGTCCTTGCCTCGACGCGAGGCAGAAACCACTCGCATTGCAATCCATCACCACAATCTCGCCCACAAGCCGTCAATCTACGCAAGGCCCACAACCCGATGGAGAATCGCCAGGTACGTGGAGATTCGAGCAGGTCAGATCTGGTGGCACATCTGCCAAGCTTTGGAACCACGCCGCTGGACAGCTCACTGACCGAGCGAAACCCCTGATAAGGATAACGAGGTAGATGGCTAGTATAACTCGGCGTGACTCTCTGCGGCCTCCACCTGGAGCCTCGGCAGGCTGATATGCATGCCAAGAGCTCGTGCCTGAGCGTATACCGCCCGTCCTCCGCCTTCAACCAAGAATTGCCTACCTCGCCTTCTCTCAAGAATTCGAAAGCACCAGGGAGATACCTCCCACTTCCGTAGCAGCATGCTCTCGAGACTTCTGCTACTCCCGGCTGCTGTCGCTCTCACAGCAGTCACTACGACGCTACACTCGAAGTCAGATTGCTCTTCGCTTGCTCATCCCGCGGCGTCTTCGTCACACAACGCTACTATCCTCAACAGTACCTACTACCCAGCCAACTCGCTCAATGTCTCCGGCTTTTTTAACCACCATCCACTCTGCGAGGTATACGGATCTGTTCCATGCGGAAGTAATGACAGCCTGGTCTTTGCGATATGGCTACCTGATCGATCGGGGTACAAGGGCAGATTCATGGCTGTTGGCAACGGTGGGATGGCCGGAACCATCGACTATGCCACGATGATGACCCAACTAAATAGCGGTCTGGGCCTGGCAGTTGCGGGAGGGAACGCTGGGCATTTGGCCTCGGAGAACAACGATGGCGGCGGGGCTCCAGGCCTTTATCTTCCCTACTTGCACGACAAGTCTCAAGTCACCGCTTGGATCCACGATGCCATCAGCCTCTTCACTCCAGCCGCGAAGGCACTAGCTACAGACTACTACAATCGTGCGCCCAGACACTCGTACTATTATGGCTGTTCCACTGGTGGCGCTCAAGGATTTGCCCTGGCTGAATTCCATCCAACTCTTTTCGACGGCATTTACGCGGGCTCTCCTGGCAACTGGTACTCACACTTGGCGTTGAGTTTCTTGTGGAATGCACAACATACGAACGTCAGTCGACGACTAACTATTGCATGTACGGACGTTCATCTGACCCTGCAAAATAGACACGTTCTACGAATCTTACTCAAGCGGAACTGAACTTCACCACAAATGCTGTTCTCGACGTCTGCGACGATCTGGATGGCGTGCAGGATCGGTTGATAGAGGATTAACTCCGCTGCCAGTTCGATATTGATTCCTTGCAGTGTACAAATTTGACAAGCGGTCCTCTCTCCACTGTAGTGTCATGCCTAGAGCCAGGCAAAATTGCAGCAGCAAAGCAAATCTACGCAGGGCCTCGACGCTCAGACAATGGCTCACAACTCTAGCCCGGCTTATCTTTCGGAAGCGAAACCGAATGGATCTTACAAGAAGGCAACCTCGCCAATGTCTTCAGCATACCTCTCTTGCAAAACCTGGCCTTTGACGATCTTCAATACGACAGCGACGATTTCAACTGGGCCTCAGACGTAGCAGCTATCGACGAGCGGGCAGGAGCCCTCATAGATGAGATCAGTGCGGATCTGTCGCCCTTTCGAGAACACGGTGGAAAGCTGCTGACCTCTCAAGGCTGGGCGGATCCCTTCCATGCAGCTACCTGGCGGATTGAACATCTCGCACAAATAGAAGGCTTCTTCGGTGGCGACGTCAGCGACTTCTACAGACTCTTCACGATCCCGGGTGGAGGCCACTGTGGAGCCGCATCCTATTACCCGCACGCACCAGCGACATATCACACGGTCTCAGCCCTTATTGAATGGGTCGAGGAGAGTCAAAAACCTGAGGCGATCCTGTGTTCGAACCCTCCAGACGGCAGCAATCGAACTCGAAAGTTGTGTCCTTGGCCCGCAACTGCTCACTTTTCGGCTGGTAATTACGATGACTGGACGAGCTACACTTGCCAATGAATAGAGTCTTTGGAAAGATGCGGACTAGTTGGGCGAGAAACACAGTCTTGACTCCGAATTACCGGCTCGCACGTGGTCGGGACTCGGCTGCTCTTATGCAGGCCACCTGCAGGGACCGGGGTATGCGCCCGTCGTTGCATTGAACCACACCCGGGTCGCCTTTTGCCTGACATCGAAATGCACGTGGGATAATATACTGGTTCAACGCTTTCTGAGATCTGCTCAAGCTTCGTGGGAGGTGCCACAGGATGCTTCTCGTGGAGCAATTGCTGCATCAACATAGACTGCGCTATTGTCAAGTTCTCCAATGGTACCAGCTAGTTTCTACACGCTTACCCGAACTAGGAAGGAGCGAGAAGTAATGCACTCGTGGCACTTGGTCGAAGGAGAGCGCTCCCGCATGATCCTGACCAGCAAAGGGTGGATATCCCAGGCCACAAGCACAACAATCCAGGTTGGTACAGGAGGATTGTGCTGCCAACACTACTTCCGCGGCCCATGATCCTGCGCGCTGGGTATAAAAATGTCTCGCCGGCTGCTGTATTGTGGATACTTTTTCAGGCAGAGGACACTCGCAGCATCGCATTTCTAAGTGCTTGTTTTCTATCCAGAACCTATATCGTTCGTTGAAGATGCGAACAGCCGCTTTCCTCGGCCTGCTGGCTCTGTCAGCGAGTGCGAGTGCCGCTCCAGGATCATCTGCAGCTCAAGCAGGTTCGAGTCGGTCAATCCAGAACATGAAGCAGAAGATCAAGAATGTTCTCATTCTGGAGATGGAGAACCGTTCCCTGGACAACCTGCTCGGTGGCCAAACGATCAAGGGACTTGAGAATCCCATCAACAACGGTCAGCAAACTGAGGAACACCGGGAATTCTTTCACATCTGACGTCTTTGTGTCAAGGTCCGTTCTGTAACCCACTGAACGTCTCCCAGCCCAACCAAGGCTACGCTTGCACTGGTGCCTCCGACTATGACGAGATTCTCGACGATCCAGACCATGCGATATACGGCAACAACATCGAGTGGTACGGCGAGTTCACTCCTGATAACGCCGCCGTTCAGTCTGGACAGCTGCAAGCTACAATGCAGGGCTTCTGTGACGAGCAGATCAGATTGTACAATGCTAAGGAGAATAAGAGTGTGCTCGCTCACCAGGTCATGCACTACTACACCGAGGAGCAAGTGCCAGTCCTGACTGCTCTCACCAACAACTTCGTCGTTATGAACAACTGGTTCTCCGACATTCCTGGAGTAAGTCAACCCTTTGTGATCTTTCAACTCACAGACTAATTCAGATTGCAGCCCACGAACCCCAACCGTGTCGCTCTCACCTCCGGCACCTCCGCCGGCAAAGGCGCCAACAACTTTAACAACGGCAGCATGATGCAACGCTCCATCTTCCAGCAGCTCTCCGAAACCCACCATACCTGGAAAAACTACGTGACCGACACCACCATGCAAGACGCCCTCTGGTACAACTGGACGTACACCTCCGGCAACACCAAGCTCGTGCAACCCATGTCCCAATTCTACGCCGACGCAGCCAACGGCTCCCTCCCGGAATTCACCTTCCTCAACCCATCCTGCTGCGGCGTCGGCACATCCTCCATGCACCCCACCGGTCTCGTCTCCGACGGCGAAAGACTGATCAAGAACATCTACGAAGCCCTCCGCGCCAGCCCGCAGTGGAACAGCAGTCTGCTCATCATCACGTTCGACGAGACAGGTGGTTTCCACGACCACATGCCTCCTCCCCTCGCCGTCCGTCCGGACAATCTCACCTACACGGCCACGACTCCCAATGGACAGAACTACACTTTCCACTTCGATCGTCTGGGCGGGAGGATGCCGACCTGGCTCATCTCCCCTTGGGTCGAGGGTGCGCATGTGGAAAAGACAGGCACAAACTGCGATCGCGAGACCGTTGCGTATTCTTCGACTAGTATCCTGAGGACGCTTGGGTATCTGTGGAATTTCGGGCCTTTCACTCCGCGGGTGGAGAAGGCGCCGAGTTTTGATCATTTGGTGAGGGCTTATCTGCGGACTGATACGCCGGCGAAGTTGCCTGAGGTTGTTACTTTTTAGTTTTCAATAAGAGATGAATTATGAAACGATAGTATCTGATATATGACTTCCGACTCGGGTGCTGCGTTGACATGCAGGCAGAAACATTCCCGTGACGGCTCCCATGCCTGAGGCATAACCTTTTACTTTTCGGTCGGAAAGTCTCGTTCCGACCTCACCTTCCATCTCACTCTATCCCTCTAGCTGCAATCATTCCATATCGCACCGCCGACTGGCTTCGTCTAGTCTTCTTTGAAACTTCGCCTACTCAGAACTCATATCAAATTAAATCGGAGTACCGGTCCGTCATCACCGCTCGCTATCACGTCCCGATACGCGGAGGAATCTCGCTCTCAACTTGGCCGAGACCCACCCACACCGAAGAACAATTCTTGGCCGAATTGATGTACTAGGTACTTGACACTATCGCCCAAACCGGCAATCGCCCTCTCCAATGTCTCGCGGCTCGACGTCGGGCTCCTTTCGCAACTAGGGCAGCTTGCCCCATGGCCAAGGCAAATACGTGGACCTCTCCGTGGATAGGCGAAGGGGGGGAACGGTCCGCTTTTGCGCGTGATGGCGACATTGGAGCACTTGTTTTGTTGATGGTCGGGTAATGCACCACCGCGTCACGACGTGTGGAATGAAATAAAATCCGGCAGCATGTCCCACGGTTTCAGGCCGCAAAGCCGCGGCTGGAAATCTTTGCTCTTGTTGGAGTTGTCGTTGTTGTTGCTGCTCGTCGTGCGAGGAAGAAGATGATGAGGTCTTTCGTGGCTGCGGGAGCGGCTTTTGCTGTGGGATCGAATGCTCTCGGGGGTTATACGAATGTCTCCGAGGTTCCGTTGTATGGATTGAGTCCTCCTGTCTATCCCACTCGTATGCCCTACTTCCCCCCCGACTCACTCTCCGACGGGAAAAGCAAAATTCTGACAACGGAGAACAGCGCAAGGCAATGGCGGCACCGATGCCGCGTGGCAAGCAGCCTACGCCAAAGCCCGAGCGATCGTCTCGCAAATGACCCTCATCGAGAAAGTCAACCAGACCCGCGGCCACACGGGCCCATGCGTCGGCTGGATCCCCGGGATCGAAAGACTGGGAACCAAAGACATATGTTTCGGCGACGCGCCGGATGGGATTCGCGGGCAGGAATTCGTTTCCAGTTTCCCGGCACAGATCACCGTGGGAGCGAGCTTCGATCGGGATTTGATGTATCGGTGGGGCGTTGCGCTGGGAGAGGAATACTATGGCAAGGGGATCAATGTTGCCATGTTGCCTGTCGGTGGACCTCTGGGCCGTATAGCAAGAGGCGGACGGAATTGGGAGGGATGGGGGGCGGACCCGTTTCTGTCATCGGTTGGGATGGGAGCTGCTACGACTGGTCTACAGAGTACGGGGGTGATGTCGATGATTAAGCATTGGTAAGTAAGGAGTGCACTTTGGAGGGTAAAGCGATGGCTGACTGGTGGATTCGTACAGGTTGCTCAATGAGCAGGAATGGCGACGATTCCCTGGTGAGTGTCATGCCGATGCCTACTTTTTCGCCAGCTGATCAATTCTGCTACAGGATCCATGGGCGAGGCAATGAGCAGCAACGCCGACGATCGCACCATCCACGAACTCTATGCCTTTCCATTCATGGACTCCCTGAAAGCGGGCGCGGCGAGTCTCATGTGCAGCTACCAGAGGGTCAACAACAGCTACAGCTGCCAGAATAGCAAGCTGCTCAACGGAATCTTGAAGACAGAGCTGGGTTTCCAGGGCTTTGTCACGTCAGACTGGGCTGCTCAGCACACCGGAATTGCCACGGCCAATGCGGGTCTGGACATTGTCATGCCCGACGGCGGATACTGGGGCGACAACCTCACGGAAGCAGTCAAGAATGGATCTGTCGCGGAGAGCCGCTTGGATGATATGGCGACCCGCATCCTCGCTGCGTGGTATCTGCTTGGCCAGGACGAAAGCTACCCGGAGGTCGCAGTGCACGACTTTGACGTGCTCGCCCCCGTCGTCGATGTTCGGGGAGACCATGCTTCTCTGATCCGAGAGATCGGGGCTGCCGGCGCTGTGCTCGTGAAGAACGTCAACAACACTTTGCCTCTGGGGAAGCCGAAGTATCTCAACATCTATGGATATGATGCCAAGACACCGGACGCCCCTTGGACGACACCATCGCGGTATGGCGGAGGATACGATGTGAACTTTGGCTGGACGACGTTCAACGGAACTCTGGTCACGGGCGGTGGCTCTGGCTCCAACACGCCTTCCTACCTGATTAGTCCGTTTGATGCCATTCAACAGCGAGTGATCAAGGATGGAGGTATGGTGCGGTGGGATTTCGCCAGCGGCGACCCGACCGTCTACCTGAATGCAGACGCTTCTCTGGTCTTCATCAACGCCTACTCGTCGGAATCGTTCGACAGGACAACGCTCACCAACGAGTTCAGCGACAACCTGGTCAAGAATGTGGCGGCCAACTGCTCCAACACGATTGTCGTTGTCCATTCTGCTGGGATCCGCGTTGTCGACGCATGGATCGACCATCCCAACGTTACCGCCGTGATCTACGGGTTACTACCCGGCCAAGAAAGCGGCAACTCGATTGTCGATGTGCTGTACGGCGACGTCTCCCCGTCCGGAAGACTCCCGTTTACCGTCGCCAAGAAGGAAACCGACTACGGCAGTCTGCTCAACACCACCATCAGCTCCGGCCCCTTCCCTCAGTGCAATTTCACCGAGGGCCTGTATATCGACTACCGCCACTTCGACAAGTACAACATCACCCCGCGATTCGAGTTCGGCTACGGTCTGTCCTACTCGACCTTTTCGTACTCGGACCTTGTCGTCGAGAAGACAAGCAACCACACCGCACAGTACCCCACGGCCAACGCGACGATCCCGCAAGGTGGCCACGCAGAGCTCTGGGATGTCCTCTTCAACGTCACCGTCTCCATCACCAACACGGGCAACGTCTCCGCGGCGGAAGTCCCCCAGCTGTACATCGAAATCCCCGACGCTCCACAGAACCAATTACGAGGCTTCGAGCGGCTCAAGCTGGACGTCGGCGAGACTCAGCAGGCTACCTTCTCGCTGAAGAGGCGCGATTTGAGTATCTGGGATGTCGTCGCGCAGCAGTGGAAGTTGCAAAAGGGAACCTATCCTCTGCGAGTGGGTGCGTCGAGTCGTGATGTGCAGTTGACGGGAGAGTTTACTGTCTGATGCTCTCTTTGAGGGTATCGATGAGCCGTATATCTATCTATCGATCATCTGAGCAAGGCTGTCAAGATATTGTTGGAAATATAGTAACTCGTTTCATGGAAACCTCACACTTATTTTCTGGTGAGTTCCTCTCCAAACGCCCCTTAGGACTCTTGCGTAGGGAAGCCCATGTCGTTCCCGCGTCCTTTTCAAAATCATCGTCTTCTAGCTTCGTCGCTGCCAGCCAGCTCAGTCTCGCTGCAACCGCACAGGTCGTGGAACAAAGTTTCTATAGTTCGTGATCTCTACACGCATTGATCCCTTCTCGACTCGAGAGCGAATATGATCGATATTCCCGGGATTCCCACTGAAAAGAACACCAAGCTAGCTGCGGGCTTCATCCAGGACGACCAAAGTCTCGATTACTCAAGAACCTAGTGCAGTTTGTATTCCTCTTCCTGACCGCGGTAATCAAAGCCATCGCGACATTGTCTATGATTTTTCGGAATGGATTCACGTTCAGGTAGAGGTGGAGGTTATATTGGATTGCAGCTCTTTATTAGGCGGATGGGAAGACGTTAAGAATAGACGTTTTAGTATATGAGGAGTTTAAATTGACGATATCGACCACGAACATATCGTTGTTACTAACTCGCGTTGGTATGGGGGTGGTGTATTTTCGTGTGTATGGTTCGATTTGATAGATGCGTAGGGATTGTTAAAGCATGCGTGGAGTTTCTGCTCCCTATACGGGTCATACACTCCTTTCCACCCTATAATGTTCGTTGGCTGCGCTATGGTCGGGAAATCTAATAATGGAGCGTTGTCGACTCTTGAACGACTATATTCCTTCCGACATCAAGTTAGTATGCACTTTTGTTCTGACATTAATGTCGCTCTGCAATAATTGGGGCGATCCATGTGTGCCTGGATAGAGAGATTCAAGGCATTTACAGAGGCAATCGAGGTCTCGACTTCCTAGACTGACGGTGATAGAACGCCGGAGTAGATAAATTAAACGTGGATACTGTTTGATATCTACAGTGGGAATTTTCCTTAACGAGCCAGTTAGGTCCAATCGACTTAATGCACGAGTAGGTCTGTTTATAGCCAACGCATATACGGTAAGTAGAGCACCAATGGTGTCGATTCGCTCTCCAAATTAACCGCATAGATCCAACTGGTCCTCTGCGGCTTTATTAGAAACCTAACAATCCGCTACCTCCTTCTTAAGCGCGCTTCGTAACTTCCTTCCTCCACACATACTTTCTGTATTCGGTTAGGCATATTATAGGGTAGTGGAAGTCTCTGCAGCGCGCCTAAGGATAAACCGCGCCTGTTTGTATATAGCTTTATTAAATAGACCCTAAATCTAGGTAGAAAAAGTTAAATATCTCGATAACGACGACTCTACGGGCTTTAATAATATAAAGGGGGCTGTTCGTAGTTGGCTAAAGACTAATCTGTCGAAATTCGTACTATATATTTCTTAAGATTATAAAGTATATCGACTAGAAACTAAACATGCTCGCGTTATAGAGGCGGCGAAAACTTTCCCCTACCCCTAGTCTAGGTATATAGTAATAACGATAAGTGACCTTCTAGATATAGGAGGCCCTTAATAAAAGCTTGCTTAACAACCTCTAAGTATTACCCGTACTATAAAAGTACGTTCTTCCTACGGTATAGTAAGGTAGGGGAAATTATAAAGCCACATATAGACAGCGCGCTTTGTCCTCAGACTCGCTACGCGAACAGAAGGCACTATTACGTTAGCATCACTCATAACATTGAACATACCACTTATAACATATTACTTACAACTTGTCTTCTGTTCCATATCGAGTCTGTTAGAGATAGACAATCCGGCAGCAGGTGTGAGACCTTTGGTCGGAATAGACCCATTCCTGTTAACGTTGTCCGATAGCCATAACAACGAATCATTTGGTCGCACTGGCACTCTCCAAGTAAAAAGAGTTCAGCCGTTGTTTGCAAGAAGTATACCAATGATGGATATAAGTGCGTTTCTGTCTCCTTACAGAATGGTCGCAAGCTTGCTTATTCCTCGTTTTTCGGTAATGGTCGGTGGTACTGGCGTACCTCTGTCTGTTAACAGTGTTTTTAAGGTCGTTGAAAAGCAGCTTTGGTCTAATATAGATAGCTACTGAAGCCCAAGGCACCCACGTGCTGTCTAACTATGACTTTAGGCTAGGCCCATGAATCTGGCCATGGTGCAATGCTTATCTTTCAAATGGGTTTCATCAAGTGACTTAAGATCTCTCGGGTTTGATTAGTTTAGGATGCGAGAGCTTCAACTGGCGAGTGATCTGAAAGGGAAACTATCCTCGGAATTTGCAGCGCAGCGCGTAAACATCTCTCAAACACAAGCAATTCGACCTCTTCACGACAACCCAGGTGTTGCAGTTGCGAATCTTCTAGCTTTCAAAGAACCTCGTAAGGCCAATGATAACAGGAGTCCCGGTCAGCAATGCGATTGAAAGTCAAGTATATGCAGCATTCGTGAACACTTTCAGACATCCCCGAGCGAGACCTTTAGAACTCCCCTATGCTAGTCGTACCCCAATCTCTGAAGTCTGGGAAGCAATCGTCACAGACGTTCGCAAACCTTCCTGATGGCAGACCATGCTGTCGCCTACCTGCGTGCGCGGTATACACTACAACTCAATTTGCATGGTGTTAATGAGGAGCTCAAGGCCGACGTCACAAAGTTCAATTGTTACAAGGTCCGTTATCACGCTGTTTGTTTGGAAAGACCGCAAGTGACGATCGTGAACATTGCTGTTGACAGGAATATCTTTAGCAACTTCAAAATTTGGGAATCACTGCTTATATTCCCACTACGACACATCGCTTGCGCAACCGCTTTTGCACATCTCGGAATCCAGCCACTAACCAAGCGTCAAGTCCACAACTTGAAAGGCCTGCTCAAGACTAATCGAGATGCAACCTTGGCCAGGCTCGAGGGGAGGCTTCAATGGCCGTCGCAGAGGTGCCGTCGGACCTCCGGGGCTTGGGTACCAAAGCACAGGGGGATACATGGGGCTTGACGATCTTCTTGACCAACAGATGTGTATGGATGTCACGAGTGGCAGATATCAAACGAATCGGGATTACAAAGACGCAATGCTGGGCACTGGTCCTTCAGCGTGGCTCAATAGCGGCACTGGCGCAAGGCAGCGAGACTTTCTCAACTTGCAACAGCCATGGGGAGGTCTTTACACTGGAGGCAGACCGCCGACATTTGGGTGGTTCTTTTGATGGCCGCTTCGGTCGCGAATGGTGGCATGATGACTGGCGATTATCTCTGCAAAGCTCGTATTAGGTATTGCTAGGACCTATACAGCCTTGGAGACGGACACAGTGCACGTTCTGCTTGGTCACTCGAGAGCGTTGAGCTCGTTAAGCTCCGATCGATTGCTCCTTTTCTCTAAACTGGCCAATGCTAGCCCACACTGCCGCAACATTTGGGCTGCAACTTGCGGAAAGCTGATTTGAAAGCCTCAACGGGATGGAGATAGGTTGGTTGTTCTCGGATAATGCATTCACTTCATGTTGCCAAGACTTCTCTTGCCAAAACAGGTAATATTTCTTTCGGCTCGGTGGATGCCACATTTAGCAGTAGGTAGATGGCAGCTTCGAGTGACCGACCATATTCATAAGAACTATTATCAGACAGCGCTTCACCGGACATGTGTTCGAGCCTCATAGTAAATTACTGCTAATATTCGAAGAAGATGCGACTTTTCTCACGAGATGTTGACTGACTCGCGGGGCAACGAGAATGAGCTTGACCTTAGGTTCTGGGATTTTTTCTCGATTGAACAAAAGCACTCCTCGTGCGCTAATCACAGCGGCAGAAATATATCAAGCAAGAGGTACTTCACAATGCACTACCTGGAAGAATGAGAATATTCCTCTCAGCTCCTAATCACCTCGGCTCCTGAACACCCTTTCTGAACCGTTGAAACTCTGCACAAGTGTTTCCCATTGGAAAGGCCCCTTCAGACACTGGAATCTCGAGATATGTTCACAAGGGTGCGCATCCGTTTTCAACGCTCCACTCTAGCCATTCTCCACCTTGTTGTCGACATTCATCCTTGATACTTGCACACTGCGCCTCATATTCGACTGCTGTTTCCGGTGGCTCACGCCTAAGGGCTAGCAACATCATAGGCTCCGCTACTTTTAGCCATCAGGGTCCAACGCAGAACCAAATGGGCTCGAAAGGTGTCCTGAATCTGTTGTCCCAGCCTTAATACATTCCAAAAAGCTGAGCTTTGACACCTTCACTCCAAGCATCGACGTCTCGTCTTCGTTTCAGCATCACCCTGGCTTCGGGATCGTACTGTAATAGTTCTCAATTCAAAAGCTGCAGTATGGAAAGTCTTTCACCGCTTCGGAATCCCAAGACTTTGTCAAATCCTTCGCGCTAGAGGAGATGCTGCTTTCCGTTCTGTTTTGCCCTTGCCAGACAATACCCTGACAAACGGTCTGTGATTGATGGGCGCGTTCTCTTTCTCCCTCCGGACAGCAACGCTCAATCACTCTATCCTTCTGGGCAACGAGCGAGTGCGAGACGTATTCCTGTGATGACTCTACTTAGGCGCTTCCTACTGTGGTGTGACAGAGCAACATGGACCTGAATTCGACATGCACATTCCACAACCTTCTAGTAACAAATACTGTTGCAATCTATAGCTCTTGATCGCCACGCTCATCAGAAGCCGGATACCCAAGTTTCCAATACTGGATAGAGAACGAATCGCCGATCTTGTCTGTCCGCGTGCGTGGCACTCTTTCTTCCAATATGGAAACGTCGATTTCGTGCCCTTCGTCGGGAAAACATCCTGTGGTCACAAAGAGCATACCTTTGAATGACATCGGTGATGAGGTCGACAGTGGAAATGAATTCCGATCAAACAGTGTTTTTTGGGGTCCCCCCGGCACTGGCTCTAATTCAGCTGCAGTCATTGGGCGTCAGCGTCGGATGCGCGGTACTATTTGCAACGACTCGAGGTGCCTTTAGGCACTGTGGCGACGTTGAAGTCGTGGCAAGAGGATGAACAAAGTCGCGAAACCCCAAAGCCCAGTAGAGATAAGCATATTGACGAGCTTTCGAATCCAGAAGATCGAGTCGAAGCGAGGACCAGCCTGGATCTCCCAAGACAGACGGGAGAAGCCAGCCTTACGAGCTCGAAACTCCGGTTGCGGTCTAGGAGCTATCAGTTGGAAACGGCCTACAGCAATGAGTGTTGATTGGTAGAATGAATTGTTGGACATGACGAGTAGTACGCAGAGGCTTTACGCTTCAGCTTAAGGCCAGAGCTGAGACAAATGACAAACAATAGATGCATACATGTACAAACTTTTAGCCGCGAGAATCCTAACTACCATACACGGTCACCTCCGTGACGCCGCTGGCGAAGTCGGCTTCCTTGCCATTGACGTTATTGATGATCTCGTTGACGTTGATGCGAACATATCGGAACTTCTGCGTCGAGGTCGGGAAACTCGCAACGAAGCCTGGACTGGTGTTGGTGCTCTGATCGGCCAGTGCGACGAACGTCTTTCCGTCGGTGCTCCCCGTGACGTTGAATTGGTAGAATGTCTCGGAGCCTTGGACCATGTTGGTCGTGAGGTCCACCTGGGAGATGGCGTGCGAGTCTTGCAGATCGATCTGGTACCAGAAGGGAACCTTGGAGGGCTTGAAGAAGCTGCCGGGGACCTGCTGGATTCCGTCGTTGGCAAGCGAGATGTTTTGGGTTCCTGCATCGGAGCTGGATGGCTTGCCGTTGGACAGAATCTGTCCCGTTTGGACACCGTAGATGCCCTGACCAGCGGTCGAGATGTCGTCCGAGTACTTCACGGTGCGGTAGAAGTGGTACGACGCATACCCTCCCGCTGCCGAGAGGGAGATTGGGAGAGTCAGCTGACGAGTGGGACCTCCCTTTGTTGGCCAGTTGGATGACCATCGATCTGCGGACATCTCAAACTGTCCACTTTCGAGCTGCTGGACACTTCCAGATTGGGCGCTGAATGTGGCAATGTTTGCCACATTCACAGGAGCTCCCCACGGCCCGGCCATGCTCTGAGCCGAGATGTACTGCGGTTGCGACGGAAGCCAGCCAGATGCGCGCGAGGTAAAGAGATAGAACCATCCGTTCGACTTGATCACGGCGGGCGCCTCGCGATGTCCGTTGACGTTTACCTGTATCAATTTCTTCTCGATGGCGGTCCAGTTGGAAGTCAGGGAGTAAATGTTGTTGTTGGTGTTGGTGTTGGTAGCCGTGACCAAGTATGCATCTTTTCCGTCCGCGAAGAAGGCCATGTCTCGGGAGTCGTCGCCTAGAGGCCGGAAGGCGCCGTCAAAGGTAAAGCTCTGCCCCGGTGTAGCGTGTGCAACCGCCACCTCGCCGAGGCCATAGTCCGCGCTGCGTTCAAAGTGTGCCCACAGGACGAAGTCTCCCGTGGTAGGATTCTTCAAAAATTCTGTCCTCTCAAGCTTGCAGCTGTAATTTGCCGAGGCGCACAACACCTGGCCGGTCAGCACGGTCTTGTCGCCGCTGAAGGTGTATCCATCCGAAGAAGTCTGTTCTTGAAGGCGACCGAAGCTGCCGTTCGTTGCCTTCTCGTAGTTGTAACGATAGTAGACCCCGTTTGCTTCGAGATTCGACTTGATGGTACGATTAGAGGCCTGCGTATTGTCGTATGTGTGGTAAGTACCCTGCGGTGCGAAAGGAGTGAGGGATGCGATGCTTGATTGATCGACCTGACTGTTGCCGTTGAGCGCCGTGACGCGGAAGTTGTATTTGGAGCCCACGGTCAGTCCGTAGGAATCGTAGTTGTCGCCTGGCACAGTGGCTAACGTGGTGTATGCTCCAGTGCCAATGCTCTGCTCGACGCGGTATGAGGAAGCACCGCTCACCAAGGCCCAGGAAAGCTTAGCATTGTTCACGGAAGCGGCGCCAGAGAGCTGGAACAGTTGACCGGCAAGTCCGAAGTCTGCTGTAGCGAGTTGGAGGAGGGCTGGCAGTATGGCCAGTATCGTGATTTTCACCATCTTGAGGTGCGTTGAGTTGTGTTATTCTTCCTGGCAGATGCGGATGGCAGCGTGCCTTATATCGCCGACAGTGCAGAGACAGACGAAAGGAGACTTTCAGCGGCTCTCGTTCCCACAGTCCTGCCAAGTCCGTATACGCTTCGAGCTGTTGATGTGCCACCCCTTGGATACGAACAGCGGATAGGATGGCGGCAGCGGCCGATGTAGGGTTGTTAATTGGTACGAGCTGTCGCAAAACCCTGCGCCGATGATGCTCAGCCATTCCATACCTTGACTGGACCCCTACGGAAAGGGGGGGAAATCTACAAGCGCGGATGAGTTTGGAGAGGGATTCTCGCGACGTCCTGTCTCGCGGAGACGGGCTACGCATTCTTGTTTAGCATCAAACTGCTCAGTTACGAGGGACACGGATCCACTCAGTTACGAGAGATCTAATCTCCACGCACAGATCAACTAGAGGAAGCCTGCTCCACGTGCTACTGTACCCTTCAGGCCGAGCGCGAACCATGCCCTGTGCGCCGAGGCTACGGCGGATCCGGGCGATCCGACGGCGTGGTGTGATATACTTGGGTCGTTTGCTTTCTGTCTTGTTTGCCGCCTGCCGCGGCCCGACGGAGGTGCCCTACTCCTGAGAACGTGTCAATCGAATCGAACGATTGATCATACAACCACTCACGCCGGACGTTACCCAAGGGCAAGTCGCAGGGTCTGTCCATATACATAACCTAGCGGTATATGGAGATTCCTAGAATAACATGTCTCGTGTAGATCCGCTGATCGACCGTATCCTAGATTGCCTAAAAATGCCTTCTAAGATGCCTCTGCCTTCTTCCGTAGTATATGCGAAGAGAACTGCCGAAACTCGGGGGCGGCAGCAGCCGAGGCAGGGTATTCTATTCGTGCAGTCTGCCGCGGACCTTCTCAGGACCGATGCTTGAAGAGACGTGAGCTGACCGATACTGCGTATATAAGCGGGATGTGGGGGCACTCTTCCCGAGGGGTGAGTTTCTAGACTGATGGCGAAAGAGTGCCGGTCTCTATTACTATTCCTACCATCTCGGTGGTACCGCACTGCCATGTCGTACTTGTCGTATGCCCTTGTAGTTGCAATCTGAAATGCTCGTGTTGTCCAAGGATCTGTGGCGTATCGCGTCCGGGTCGAAAGTCTTCGAGTTGGCGATGATGCTGAGTACCTTGAAGGTTATTTGTGGCATTCCGGGAAGTGGGGGATTCTGGGCTTCCAGCTCAAGCACAAAAGAGTCTGCATACGAGAGCGACAGAGGTATTAGACACCGCATGACACGAGAAGCTGCTGCATATGTGGGGCGATCCGACGACGTCGCAGCTTGGAAGAGAACGCATATATCAGCGCAGCCTGGGCGGAGAGACGGCATGGTCGACGTCCCGCGGGCGGAGGACGGAATAACTGCGATCTGGTTCCTGCAGGGCTCAGCGGTCGCCGGTGCTGCTGTACATAACATCCATTATTGATTTGTGATGAGCCCTGGCAGATTCGGGCTCTGTGTAACATCATGGAGCGCCGCTTATTGAGCCAACAATCCGTTCAAAGGGTCTGGACCAACTGCAGCGTGTATCTGATGTATCAGTGCATCTCTTTGAAGAAATGTGAAAGGTCTTCCGCCGCAGAACAGAGAAATGGCCTGCTGGCGGTGGTTTCTCAACGAAGGCGGTGCTGGAAATGAACCAGGACAGTGGCCAGGCCAGAGAACTACGCCGATTGTTGAAATGTATTTTGGAAAGTACAGTCCCAGAGCAGTAGTCGGGAAGTCATTGGCGATGCGAGCGCTCTGCTATCTGATGTATCATGTCCGGTAGGAGAGAGTGGCTGAAGAGAATTCGAGTTTTCGGGAACATCTCCACAGTGTGTTGGCGCAAGCGCGGAACCTTGTGCTGACCTCAGTTCGCGCAACACCATCACCTACTCTGTTCTCATCTCGACTATATCATCATCAGCGAAAGTTCTCGGAATGTCATGGCGATGCAACTGGTAAAGCGAATCAAGCAAGTCATTTCTCATTGACTGAAATACAAAAAAACTCCCCAACCACCGATCAACGTAGCATTCGCCGAGGCTTGACCACGTTAATACGCCGGCTGGAAAGCCCCATCTGCGCGATACCCGGAAGACCATCGCACCAGATAGATACTAGCAAAAGCAATAGAAGCAGAGGAGGCACCGATATGGCCAAAGCTATTGGCATCGGGCCGGCAAGAGTGGAATACAGACGAGACGGGACAGCCCAGAAGACCGTCCCATCCGCGCCTACATCCCACTGCGTTGAAAGCTGCCGGGAGAACGCCAGCACTCGACATCTGTCAGTCACCCTGATCGAAAGCTGAGGTTCAGTGACAGCCGTCGAGTGCTTCCTTATCTCCATTTCTGCTGGAGTCTCGCCCGCTTCTCAGCGGCCGACTCAGCGGTCGACTCAACGGCACTTGCACTGACGGCTGGTGCTAGAGGCGGGTCATCCTGTCGATCCTGTTCCTATTGTGGTCGGGCATGTTTACGCTTCAGTTCCTCGCGTTTCGTGAGTTCTGTCGGTGCAGATTGCCAAAGCTCCTGTTCCTGGTGTGGTCGGGCATGTTTACGCTTCAGTTCCTCGCGTTTCGTGAGTTCTGTCGGTGCAGATTCCGAAGGCTCCTGTTCCTGGTGTGGTCGGGCATGTTTCCGCTTCAGTTGCTCGCGTTTCGTGGATTGTGTTGGTGCAGATTCCGAAGGCTCCTGCCCCTGATTTGGTCGGGCATGTTTCCGCTTCAGTTCCTCGCGTTTCGTGGATTGTCCTGCTCGTTCCGCGATGCGCTGACGCGCTCCTGGACTAAACATCTCACGCTGTTCTGGACGTCGAAGAGCGTGTTCAGCTGGTGGATGTTGGTTGCCTGGTTGATGGTGGCGATATGCGGGGTACGAACGCGAGTCAGGTTGATGCGGCGGTCGATAGTACGAGTGATGGGTCGGTTGAGGGGCCGGTCGAGGCGGCGGTTGATTTGGTGGGTGATTGTGTGGTGATCCATACCCATAGCCAAATTCCTGGCGAGGGTAATGCGGTGGTGGTGGAGGCGGGTAATGGGGTGGTAGTGGAGGAGGGTAATGGGTTGGTGGAGGAGGTGGGTAATAGGTCGGAGCAGGAGGAGGTCCGTAATGGGTTGGTGGAGGAGGTGGGTAATAGGCTGGAGGATGAGGTGGGTGATCGTGTGGTCCGCGATTCCCATAGCTGAACCCCTCTCCATCGCGGTAGTCGCGCGGGTCATCGTGAGTTGATCTTGATGGTGAGTGCGATCGCGCGAGTGCGTACTGGTCGTATCCGATTGTTTCCATCTTGTTGGCGTCACTTGCGGTACTTCGGCGGTCCTGCATCTCCTGTCGGTGTTCCTGTTGACGCGGATACTGGTCACCTCGGATTCTCTGCTGTTCATTTTCCGGTTCCTGATGAATATGCTTCTGTTCAGCCAACTTCGCCTTCAGAGACAGGATCTCCTGCTCCAAGCCCGTCATTTTCTTCTTCAAGTTCGGCATATTCTTCCTCTGGTTCTTGGACTACAAAGATCGCGTCAGCATTGTCTTCGCTGGCAACATGGTGATACTCTACCCCGTTCTTCATGGCCTTGAGTTTCTGCGCATCATCATCGTGCCGGTGATGCCTCTTTCGAGAGCCCTCGTCGGACTGGTTTGCCCTCGATTCCTGGTTGTTCTGCGGACGGTTCTGGAACCCACTGGCCTCGCGTGTGCGTTGTTGCGCGCCAGGGAATTGAAAGATGCCAGGCGGAAAACATATCGTGGACGTCGTCCTCGCGTATGTCTTGGCAGCGGTCACTCCCGCCACGGGCCTCTGCCTTCTCTCGATATTCTTCTCGTCCGCTTCTTCCTCCTTCCTCTTCCATCCACCTCACACATTCTCGAATTCTTCCAGTCCACCTCTGCGACCATGTCTGACTGGCAGCATCCAAGCGGCTATCCACACGGCTATCCAAGCAATAACCCCTATTACTACCCTGCGAACCCTCCCAGTAACCCAGTACGTTCATGCAGCGCACCCGTCGAGCGCGCCGTGACTGACTTGGAGCAGTATCAACCACCGCATCAACCACCCGCTCCGAGTGCGTATCCACCAGGACCATATGATCCATACCAACAGCATCAACCACCGCACCAACCACCGCCTTTGAGTACCTACGGTGGCTCTCTGTCGACGCATGAGACGCAACATCAGCAACAAACACCACCCGAGAAACAACAACCCGCGCGAGTCATGTCGGCGGAGGCAACCACCGCCTTGAGGAATCTAGGAATTCGAAGAAACTTGTTAATCTCCAAGATCGAATATGTTGAAGACGGTGAATTGGATGAACTTGGCCAACAACTTGAGTGCGTGCTACTTTGTCCCACGTCAGAACTTGACTGACCAGGAACAGGCAGATTCGGCGACAGGAGAATTTTATCAAGCGGTACGGAATTCTCCCTCCGTTTTCGCAACAATTTCGCGCTATAGGAACAGTGAGTCCTTTCCAAACCCATTCTATACGCCCCTTGCGAGTGCAGAATGTAGCTAATCATCCTCGCAGTCCCAGAACTCACCAATCCCTGGCTCGGCTACCCCTACCGAGACTCCCCAAGCAACCGCAGAGACCGATGTCCCACGCCCAATGACTCCTCCTCGAGGCAGCGATGGTAGGATTACCTTCCCACCGATACCCGGAGGCCCACCAACCTACATTAAAAGCAATCAGCAACCACCATCTGCTCCATTCGGATCTTCTCCGCGGCCGAGCAGTCAACTGTTTGGCAACCAGCATCACCAAGGACCACTTCCAGCTCGCACAGAGCCGACTCAGCAACCTACGTCGAACCAGTCTGATAAAACTGGATCAGATGGTTCGCGTGCCGGTGCCTCCACAACCTAAGAGCGACGATCGTTGAACAAGCAATCTTAAATCCTACAGACCCCGACAAGGACCATCGAAACGCTCCGAGCAAGCAAATTTCCAAACAAACAGTCAACCTCGCCAACCAAGAAGAAACTTTGAGGAATCATTTGAGAAAGAAGACCTGATCAGATCCCTCCCCACAGGAGGTCCTGTCCAGGCATCGGTTCTTCAATCAGTCCAATCAACGCCTTGAGCCTACAACCTCCGCACCGAACACATTGCAGGATCACTTCACAAACGAACTCGGAACATTTCGAACGAAGAGTGGCTTCACAAAGCCGATGTCCAAACCTCAGAGCAACAAGTGCAACATCACCCGGAATGCACGCAACAGACCAGACGAGATGAACGATGACGCAGAGGTGGCCTGCGGATACTGTGTCGAGTACCGGATACTCTACGTCAAGGCGTGTAGGACCGGTGACATGATCATAATGCCACGCTCATCGGAAGATCGAGCGGGCATTCAATGGTGGGATTCTCTCTACTGGATCCCGCCCGGCGGGCCCGTCCGAATCGCTGATTCACGGTACGCCCATCTGGATCAACCAGCTGCACCGGATGAGGATGATCGTCCTCGTGAGACGACACCTAGGCGCAGCGACGAGAAGACCGGCAGCGGCTGCTGTCTATGGCTCCAGGGTATAGCCGGTATTAGGATGTCGCATTGCGGTATCCTGATCTTCTGGCTGGACCCTAATGCCCATTCCTCGGTCTGATCCATGTTTTAGAGCGTTCGCTTTCTAGGCTGATGCTTGCGTTAGCCTGGTTAGTGTAGCCCCGGAGGTCGTGTTGTCACGGGAGTCTGGTGAATCTTACATTCGCTAGTCTTCTGTGACGGCCTGGCCTTGGGTGGCTAATTCTGTAAATATCTTATGTAGTCTTTGTACACATGACTACAACACTGCCTTCCCCGTCAACAGCCATTGCCCTCCTGTCCCTTGTGAACACACAGGTGTTCTGAATTGTGTGGGAAAGCCTTTGCGGCACAATGGCATTGTCTCGACGTGTTACACGCGGCGTTTTGGCCTCCAGAATGAGCGCTGGCTATGGCGAATACCTGAAATAGCCCATGAGCGTCGAAATGACCACAGAGAGGAAGATGCATGCGATATGCATCGCTCCTGTAATGCGACAGGATCATGTGGTATAGCGGCGGTGCGGGCTGGCACCACTAGAGAGCCACCCTCTATATATGCGTCCCTAATCAGGCAGCCTTCAGACCTTACATTTTCATCAGTGGCGTCAGAAGAGCTTTGATATAAAGATGATGGTCAGCAGAGGGAGGAAGTTAAGCTTAGGTTGCCGCCGAAGTCTACGGATCGTGCACAGTGGACCTCGGGCGGGAGGAATTCGGAGAATTAGCCGTCCCATCCTGATCACCTCTCCTTCCAGTACTTATGACTCCTGCTCACCGCGACTCGAATTCTGTCGGCACCAGCAGATCTCCCTCCAAGACACGCGCCATGTGCGACTTGTCGAATTCGACGTTACGCCGCACTTTCATCAAGAGCACCTTCAGGAAATCGACCGGATTCTGGCGCTGAGTCTTCTCGCCGGACGCGGTGCCGTCACTCAGTATGAACCCATTGCCCGTGACTTTCCACTCCGGTCTCGCCTTCTCCGATGCCAAACCTAGGAATCGACATGTCTCCTGATACTCTTCGTACGAATCGAAGTAGATCTGTCCCGCAAAGACATTGAGTGCCGCACTGAGCTGCCGAGGCAGCACAGGCTTCGTAGTCGCCTTCGATATCGTATACAGATCCAATCTGTCAAGAGCAGGATGGGCCTCGCTGCAGCGAGGCTTGTACAAGTGGAGAGCCGCGTATTCCGAGCGACGGACATCGTCGAGAAGCATGTGAGCCTCGAATGGGCTGAGCATGATTGCGGCGTCTGCGAGCAGATCTCGTGGGTCCTTGCGAATGGTCAAGATCCACTGGACATGCCGCTGGAAGGCGTCGGATGTATGAGGAGAGCCTGGCTGCTTTTCCACCGTTCTCGCGAAGTCTGCGGTGACCAGCAAACGAAGGCCGCATTTGGTGTCTAAGACGGCAGGATTGAACTCTCGGGCCGCGCTTGTATCTCGCAGGGAAGCAAAGGCAGGCCCATACGCCGCTGATCCACCCGGCAGAATCCTGCCTGTCTGCACAAGCTTCCTCAGATCTTTGGAGAACTCGTGCCTCGCAGGTGCTGCTGGGAGAGCCCTCTCAACGACGGCCTCTTCTTCGACTTCGGGTGACAACTCGCGCTCTTGCTCCTCCTGTAGCCTACGAGAACCCTGCTCGGCCCGCCCAAATCGCTTGCAGTGGTCTATGACACTCCGAAGTCTGCTTTGCGTTGGCTCGGCGAATTGCGCAACCTGATCCTCCAGCTTCTTGAGTTGATCTTCGAATGCTCTACCCGGCCGATAACGAAAGGAGATACTTCGGGCCTCTGGTTCCAAGAATTTTTGAGCTTGCCCTGGCGTGAGAGCAGTCGAATCTTTACCGCCGATGCACACGTCTCTCCACAGGCTTTCCTGCAACACGAATCGATGGCCCTGCGTCGTCCAGAGAGCGATGGAGCGGCGTAACCAAGCAAAAGACTCGGCTATAGCCCAATGTAGCACGTCGATGACTTCTATCGCTGTCTCGGGGTGCTTGTTTGTACAAGCCAGGATCTTCGAACGGATTTCATTCGACACGCAGAGCACTACGCTCTGTCCTTGTCCAAGTTGACGCATTCGCATGGCTGCCTGGCAGATCCTGTCCTTCGTAAGGTTGGCACCAAGGGTACAGGCGGCTCTGTAGTAGGATGGAAGCTTGATGTCTATGCCCCGAGTATGAGCTTCGTCCAGGTAGACGAGGCACTCGTCTGTCCGGGCGACGAATGAGGATGTCTGGAACGGCTCTGAATCGCCCTTCCTATCCACGACAGTGAGCTCATCATTCTCATTGCAGTAGATAGCAGCCTTTTTGTTTCGACGCTTGGCCAACCATGCCGAGGCAACGGCGAGGTTGTCAAGCTCCAAAATCTGCGCGCCCACATCGAGAATGACGTCTGGGCTGTCCGGGAGATTCACGACCATGTCCAGAAGTCTCTCTGCATCCGTAGAGCCGCTCGATTCGTCTGCAGGACCCATCAACGCAACCGAATTGTCTTCGTGCAGAAGGTTACCGAGGACGAGGGCATTTGTATGCGCTTGCTCCTTAAGATCTAAATGGGTTACATCCAGTGGTAGAAGATCCTTTGAGTCGTTGGTTCCGCTGAAGCCAGTTGTGGGAAGACGCTTGACTTTTCCTAAGTCCCAGCCCGATGCTGACATCTTGTTTGGAAATTCACGCATTTCCTTGGGGAAAACCACGTGACTGAGGAAGAAGTCGATCGCACCTTTCACCTTGCGGAGTTGGGGAAAGACCACGGATGTGCAAGCTGCCTTCTCGCTCAAATTTACGCCGTCAAGGTGGCAAAATTCTTTCGGCAAAGAGGTCGCTGCGGTCCATGAACGGTATTCGCCCTGCGCATCGGCCTTCTTGAGATGCACCATGGTCAGGAAAAGTTGCTCGTCATTGAGACCACCATAATAATACGACAAGGAAGTCAAGAGTATGACGACGTCTGGATGGCTGAATTCAGAGCGCATTGTTGGGCAGTCTTTGGCCCGATAGGGCACAGCCAAGCGGGTAGGCGGTTCACGGTTGGTGATACCGTAGTTAACACGCCAACGCTTTCGGCCAAAAACAAAAGCGAGGATGTCGGTCGCAAACAGGCCGCGCAACAGCAGCAGAATGCTCCTGAACTGACTCGACCATAGTGGCCCATTCTCAACGGCTTGGATCTGGTCTTTGCTCAACTCGTAATGCGTGATATACGTGTACAAGCTCTCCCGAGCCGCACTCGTCTGATGTGGCGCGGGAAATCCGCGCAGGCCTTCATCGCAAACTTGACGAGCTACCCGTCTCATGATCTCATCTCCGGTCTCGTGGTCGAGAAAGCGGATTCTTGGGAAGCATCCAGTACCGCGATCTTGGAACTCCAGGCCGGAAGAGGATGCCAGGTTCGACGCGTGCAGCTTGACCAAATCCAAGACTTGCTGTATGCATGTCCAGCGCAGAGGAGTCATCTCAATTGGTCGCTGAGCGCCCATCGTATAGATGAGCTCATTGTGCACGTCCAAGATGTCGTCGCACTCATCTATGACATCGCGAGAATTCATGTCCAGCCAGTCATGAATGCGAAGGACATCCCGCCCAAGTTCCGCATTATCGTTGATCAACAGCTCCGGTCCCATGAGTTTAAATGACATGATGTGCTCGGGTTGCAACAGCATCACTCCACCTTCTGCCATGCATTCTTTGCAAAGTCTCTCCAGGGCCTTGATCTTCGACTTGGTGAGCTTGACTGCTCTCGAGAACGGCATAAAGAAGAGCCGCCGATTCAGAAGGCCGCCTAGCTTCGAGACCAGCATCTGGGCCATCTGTTTTGATTGGGGCTTCGCCACCACTACACGCACCAGTTGCGATGTGTTCGCCAGAGCTGCTGCAACCATTGGCACAATGACGGACGACTTGCCCTCTCCCATGCTTAGCTGGAGAACGGCGTTCTGTGTGAAACGTGGAGGACTTCGCATTTCAGAAGCAATTTGCTCCTGAACATCTCGAACGAGGATGTTCGCCTCTGCCTCGAGCAGCAGTGTTTCCGGATATTCGAAAGGGCTCCAGTTGGTGTGCCCAGGATTGGCCAACTCTCGAAGAAGCCCCGGCCACCCGGGAGTACTGTGAGCTACAAGCAGTCGCTCAGCGCGCTGGAGTGTGGTTGTCGCAAGAGCATACTGAACAATGCAAGTCTGCCATGCCGGGCTTAATTTACTCCAGCGTTGTCTGTTTAATTGTCCGAGAATGAAGACCGGTGACACTCTTGGAAGATGATGTACGGTGAACTTATGTCCTTGAATGGTGGCAGTGTCGATCTCGTTGCAATCGAGCAGCCTCGACACGCAAGCAGCGGTCATCGCCTGATTGAGCTCGCTCTGGACATGCTCAAGATGCTCGTAGGAACGATTGCGGAACGTCTCAAGAACGTCGCAAGCAGGCACCCCCTGTGCGGACCGCTGACTTGCTCTGTGAATGCCCAAGGATTTTGCGCTCTTACGGAGATCCTTCAGATAATCCTGCTCGTATGTCGTCGCTATCCGCTCGAACCGACCCACCAATTTGGCCAGGCTGCACTGATGGTCCGCCTCTTGCGCTGAAACATTCGCAACCAATTCGTCGACCAATGGAAGCACGGGCAATGCGCTCGGAAGATTCGGAGCCACTTTGGAGAACAAGTCGTCGACAGAGAAATATCCACACTCGTACTCGTGCCAGGACAATTCCGGGGCCTGCTTCCAAAAAGGTGGATCTTGTTCTTCTTGCCGAAATTCGGACAGGCTCATTTCAACTTGATAAAGGTAGCTTTGCAGGGCTTCATTGTCCCGTAACACCTGAAATTTGGTCGAGATGATATGATCAGCCTCCTGCCGCTTTAGATACGGCAAGTGCTCCAGACCGATTCTGGTATTAGTGTTGGCGCCCACCTGATCCCATGATTTCCACCTGGACTCAACGACTGCCTTGGCGGCGTTCTTGATGCAAAGGTCGTACTTGTGGACTCGAGACTCCTGCGCCGCTTGCTCGCTCTGATCGGGTTTCCGAGGGATCTTGACAGCAGGGCTGTTTGAAAAGTCGACCACTGCGTTCTCCAGTACCTCTTTAATGAGTTTCACCTTGATATCGTAGTTGATCGTATGGCCATCGGCAAGACTCCAGCTTTTAACCCTGGGGATTTCAAGACGCCGCAGCGACGGTACGGTGAACATCAGAGCGACGGCTTGGATGACCTCAAGCCGTGGCTCGATGCCAAATGCCATTGAGCTCAACCACATCGCCAAATCAAATCGATTGATCTTGTGCTCGCCTGCATTCTTCAGCGCGGCGTGCAACATAGGCATAACTCTGATCAATTGCTCGCCAGATCCTTCGAGGAGACCCGAGTCGAACCTCAGGGTCTGCTCGTCCAGCGCTTCCAATGGACCGTAGACCGTGGACACACTTTGTGCTAGCTGCCACAGTTTACTTCTAGCTGGTGCATTCCAGTGCAGTTTGTCTTTCTTGCCGAAGACTATGCTTGACACGATGAATGCGTTGATGGCTCTGTCTGAATCCTGGTCACGATCTCTTCCACGGTATTCGAGGTCGTGTCCTGAACTGAAGTACTCGGCACCGAATCCGTCAACTCTGAAGGTTGAAGAGCGTATAAGATCTCTCTCCAGAAGCTGCGGTTCTGCATGGTCTAGTGTTGGCACCTTTTGTGAGTCCGCAAAGAACACACTCGACTGTTCGGCCTGCTCGAGAATTGCCTCCACGGCTTTGTAGAGTCCGCCATGTTGAGAGAGAGAACTCAAGTCGGGATCCCAGTCCACAGATTGCATTGGTCTTACATCTTTGGAAGGGTAGTATGATCGTGCTGGCGTTATGCGGGAAATTGCCATCAGCAGTTCGATGTTGTGCTCGTTCAAATACTCGAAAGAGCGCGTTGCCGCTGACCTCAAGATCGTCAGCGCCTGCTCGGTTCCAGTCTTCCGCGTGGCTGGATCTGCTAGGCAATAGGACGTCAACGCGTGCAAAAGCGCAAGGAAGAGCTTGCATTGCAAACTGCCGCGATCTTTCAACACGCCCAGTCTCTCGTCAATCTCCAGATCGTGGACTCTGCCAGCACGAGCTCTGTCGATTGTCACTTCGACATGATTCAGCCGTCTCTTGTACGAGACGGGACCTTCAAGCACCAACACACGTCGCGTGCCATTCTCGTGCTTAAGTATGAGCTTATTAGAGAAGCCTATCAGCGTCCCAAGCGACTGATCCTCGGCCACAATCATTCCTGGAAATTCCCTTGAGTACAGTTGCGCTGACTGAGCGTTCAGAAAGAACCCTGTCTTGGTTTCCGATAATTCGATCTCAAGTCGGTTGTTAGGATCCAGCGTCATGTGCACTGTGGTCGGCTCCGCAATGGGCGAAAGAGCTGTGGATATCTCTCTGGCGGAGCGGTTCCGCAGACCCAGGACACGCGTGTCACCTCGGCTTAGTTCCCAGGCATGATGGCTGACAGCGTGCAGCGTCCATGTAGTTGGAGAAGTCTTCCACGGATCTGCCGCTGGGCGAAACTCCACAGTGTGTGTGCTCTCGTTGAACCAGTGGATGTATTTGGCCTGGAAAGAGCTGGCGTAAATGCCCTGGAGCACCCGACTCGGCACCAACTGGTACAACTGACCTTCACGCCAGGCCTTCACCAGTATGTCGCCATCTTTCCAGCCTAAGTGCACATGGAAGCCGTCCCAGGTAGTAGTTGTGGAGAATCGCATGCCTGGAACCTTGCAGGGCAACACTTCTACGTCTGAAGTCCCGAAGAGAGTCTTGTAGAGTGGATGATCTTGGTATGATCTTGGAAGACGCTGTATGCGGGCGCCATCAACCAAAAACTCGCCTGTCAGAAGGTTGTAATGAACAACCATCATATCTCCATGGGCTGGCTTAAGCTGGGCAACGAGCCAATGAGATTTCTCGCCCTGGGCGGAAGTCCATCCCTGAAGATCGGCCTGATGTATAGACCACACACGCGCAACGGCAGTGTCAAGGCCAGTGAAGTCGTGCCTAAGGATCCGATAGCGCTGGCGAAGAAGCCGCTTGAAGCGCAGGTAGAGCAGGGACCAGATGGACTCTTCAGTGGTGGCCTTCCGAAGTACGCGTTCCGAGATGATCATGCAACATTGGAAAAATGCTGACGCCAGAGACTCGTTGCTTGATAATGTGATGAGCGCCTCCTGGTCACCACTGAAGCATGTCGCACAAATCAGAGCCAATTCGATGGTCTTTGTCCGGAACTCTGTCCTGTCTGCCGAAGTTGCTGCTTCTTGTGATCTCGTACGCAGGCGCTGCACCCACTCAAATGCTACTGCTATCACATTCGAGATGAAGGCAACGCACGCATCGCGAATGTGCTTCGAAGTAGTATTAAGCATCCTCAATCGCCAAGCTACTGCTGAAAACACGATGAGAGCGTTTGCGGACTCCCAATTCTCCCTGACCTTTTCCAGGCACTCTTCGAGTGCTGCGAGCATTTGCTTTGCAAAATCGTCGCGTGATGCGGTCTCGTGTCCAGGACGGATTGCAGTTGTACCTGGAGGCCCTGCCTGCCCGATGCATTGTAACACAAACATGACAGTCTCCTCCTTCTTCCAATCGACTCCAGGGGATCGCAACTGCACGAGAATATTCATCCACTGTATGCGATGTCCAAGTGGGAGAGAAGCAAGCTCTGCATACTCATTGGCCTTCAGGTGCTCGGGGAAGACGGTCTGGCTGGAGATGACGCTGTTCGGCGTCGGTCCATTTGCGCTGCTTGGAGGTCTGTAGATGAAGGACTCCAAGGCCTTTGCCCGGCTTGGGAGACGATACATGCAATCTTTTGGAAGATTCTGTGTTGTTACAAACCCGGTCAAGAAGCACTTCGAATACGCGTCGGAGTAGCGGTATTTGAGGCCGTTCTCAACGCAGACTTCATCGACCGACGGCTCCTTGTTCAGCCACTTTCGCTTGAAGTGCGTCTTCTTCTGTGCCTTACTCTCCGACCAAAGGACCACGCGGTGTTTCCCACCGGACATATGATCTTGCAAATGGAAATCGTCGTAGAAGGACCATCCTGCAGTGACCGGAAGGGTCTTTGACTGTCTCGCCTTGAACACGTCCAGAATCAAGCAAGCCGTGATATCTCGCCAGTGAGCGAACCAGATTGGAACATGGAGCTCAAAGATGATGGCCTTCGCCTTGTCCGAATCTGATGGAAGGGGCCACTCGTGAACCTGGATGTTGAGCTTATTCATCCTGTCAGCGAGCGCACACTTCTCGCATGCTTGCTCGTCATGCACTTGTTCCACTCGCACACTTCCTCGCTGAGTCAATATTGATACCGTCTTGGTGTCGCAAGTGCTCTGCTCCCATGAGCGCTTCATTTGGATATACTGCGACCGCTTGTTCTCCAGCTCCAGAATTTTGGCATCCCTGTCTTGTTGCGCACGTTGAAGCAACGTATTCTGAAAGCGTTCCAATCCTCTCTCTTTATCATACCGAGTGTAGTACCGGATCGCAAAATCGTTTCCATGCCTACGGTCACCAGGACCTTGGAAAAGATACTCATTGGTAAAGCACGCTTCCTTTTTTCGGCTTGTCAAATAATCTTCAACGACACGCAACCTGATCCATTGACTCTTCGAAGGTAGCACCAGGCTCTCCAGTAGACTACTGGGAATCTCTGGATCATACTCGCTGAGCAAGGGGCATTGCTTGATCGAACGCTTGTCACAAGCAATCCACAATTCGACAGCAGTGAGCACCATGATCGACAGAGCCTCGGCGTTGCCTGAGTACGCTTTGCCAGCTACTTGAAGGTAGTTCACCAGGCCTTTATTGACTTTCGAGGCGAACTCATCAGCAGAGAGATCTATCTCAGCCAGGCCACTTGCCACCCATGTTTCGAATTCTTCAAGGTTTGCAATCGCGTACGGATCTTCTGGAGAGAACGACAACGTCGGGGCAATTTCATCCTTCCTGAGTTGGATAGCACCGGTGGTCAGCGTTGGACCAGCTACCCGATTCGGAGTGACTGCGACGGTCGAAGACACGATATAGTCATCCAAATCTGGTATTGCGACCTGGCAATCCGCGGCGAAGTTGAGTGATGGCAGAGCCGAGAGACTCAGTTGGTGAGAGAGCGAATCTTGGATGGTCTTCCACGTATCGGATATGGCTTGACCTGCGTTGCTGAGTGTATTGCAGACAACGTTACGCAGGGCTGGAGGTACTCCAGGTGGGAGCTTATGCAAGCGCCGCATGACTTTTGAAGTCATGCAGTACAGCATTTCGCCGTGCTGTGAAGTTCGGCGTGCGGTCTCCATAACACGTGCCATGAAGAACATCAAAAAGGCCTTGTAATAGTTCTCGCCGTGCTCTCTTGTCCTGGAGAACGTAACATGGAGAAAGACGCGGGCAAACATCCAGATGGGCGAGCGACGCCATGGAATCTCCACGCCTTTTTCCCAGAAGACCTCGTCGCGAATGGACTTCGATACATTCTTGAGCTCGATGGTCTCCCCGGATGCTCTTAGAAGGCTGAGTACCAGCTCTGTCACCGCAGCAGGGCTTGTGGTATCGCGATCCTCGTCATGTGAGGCTCCCGCTTTCTGAGATTTCGGCTGCATTCCACGAACGGGCTGGCTGCTCATCTTCGACAGTGTATAGGCCAGCATGGTCTGGAATTCAGGTTGATGCGATGTCTCTGGGCCGACAACTATAGCGGGTCCAGGGAAGGTACGCAGCAGCCGGCCCTTAGTAGTGATCACCGCGGCATTGCACGGCGAAATCTCGAAGACTTCAAAGACCATGCCTTCGTTAGTAGATGCGACAAGAACTCCGGCATTTTGCGAACGAATGTACAGTGGAAGGACAGCGGCGTGATTTGCGCAGAGGTTTTGCAGCTCTTCGGCTACCATTGACTCGCTTAACACACCAGCCGTGGTCATTGTGGTAAACATGCGGTCCAGGCCGTCCGAGGTCATATCCAGAGTGCCTTTAATGGCCGGACAGTACAGCGCGAAGGCCTTGAGCGATTTTTGTATTGCGGTGAGGAGCGCGGCCTCTAGGTCCGGCAGCGTTTCTGCATCTTCGGCCGCGGACGGAAGCTGCGGCGGCAAGAACACGTGATGGAATATGAAATCAAGCTCCCTCGCGCTCAGATCGCTGAGCGAGGCCACCGTAGGCGGTGGCGCCATTGTGTTAGACAATGCCAGTCGGGTCGGGAGGGAGGGATACTGTGCAGCTTCGTTGAGGGAGGAGGGTGAGGGCGAGGCGCGGAGGGGGGAATGTCGCAGTCGAAGGCGAAGGTGGAGATGAAGAGTTGAAGTGATGTTGTCGGACAAGTCGAAATTGTCGTGGCGGCAAGCAGTCGGCCGGGATAATGTGGCAGCGCTAGTGCTAGCGCGTCGGAGTTTCTCGAGACGACAGCTCCTTTGATGGGTGCCGACAGTATCAAGAAGACAACATGCGCCTCAGACACGCCGGAGATGGATGAGACGAGTGTTCAGAGTTGGTTGCTGGAACAGTCAGTCATGTTCAGAAGAGGAAGTTGAGCTGTTGCTGTAGCTTGGCTACAAACGACGGGTAAAAGCCGGGCCGAGCAGCGTTTGCATGTGAGCATGAGACGGAAACTGAGATTTGACCTCAGCGTAAGTTCACCATCGCTGAAGAGATCGCTCACTCTTACTTTTAGCAGGTAGAAGGTGAAGGGATGCATATGGACTTCATCGGTCATTCAATGTCATTCTGAATAGCGGACGGGAGCATCATCTCTGGCAGTAGCAGGACATAGAATACGACACCGTCAAACAGGACATCCACTCTCCTGAGAGCTATAGGCGGCGAAGATCTTGTGCGGCCTTTCCCACAATGAACGAAGAAACAGGATCCTCCGGCTGTTAGTAGCCGCATTACACTCACCTCACGGATTACTGCTGGCTAGGAAGTCCACCAGGTCTCCACGAGCCGGAATGCGGACGCTGATGTGCGGCGAGGTACTTGCGCATTGCATTCGGTCGCAAATAAGACCATTTTCCAGGACGTGAAGTATTCTGTTGACATTTTTCTTCCTGCTCGAACTCGAAATCATATGAACGACGCTGATATCGGACTTTCCGGTTGCTCGATCATCGGCATTAGGAGTCGCAACCACCGGATACCGTGTCACAAGCATTTCTGGCGGGCGGAACAATCCTGCAGACCCTCGCAAAGTTGCTGCAAGTCAGCAACCAGGCCACGCCATTGTTCACGGTTGAACGTAAGCCTTTCCAGTAACGGTCAACTGAGAATCACGATGGCTTGCACGACACAGCGGAAGACACTGGTGTGTATCTCGTATCCTGTGAAGGATCACCAAACTTTTACCGGCTTCTTCATTCAATGCAGCAAGTCAATTTCGACCAGAGCTATAAATGAAGTGAGGCTGCTATGATGCAGCTTCTGGACCCCTCTGCAGTATTTCGATCGCCTATCGCACTCACCACGATCACAGAATATGTTTCACTTTTCAATCACAGCAACGTTTCCCATTCTCGGCGATTCCTTCGGCACTGCGTTGCTCCAGCCAAAGACACCTCCAACCTGTACACAGGCGCGACTCCAGGATCCAATGGCAAAGATCAGATATTAGGAGATCCGTAAAACTTGAAAGTGTACCTTGGCTATAAGGTCTATCAAGAATTCGGTATGGGTTCAGCCTTGATGCCTAACCCTGCGAGCAATTGGCCGGTATACCCTACGTCTGGCACTGAAGATCCCCCGATGTTGAACATCAATCAAACAGGGATCAGCCCGCCTTTCGTCAAGAGTATCCGGCAGGTGAATGTTTCGAGCTGGGAGGTAGGGCTTATTGCCAGGTGCGACGTTCGGAAGCGAATCAGCACAGATATTCCCGTCTGAAGTCGACGAAAACCATGAGTCGAGAGAATGCGCTAGGCAGCCAAAGCAGATTGTGGCGAATGGTCCATTGAGACGCGTCACGGTCTTTGAGAGGTAATCAAGCAGCTGGACAGCTATGTACGTGCGGTACTGGCAGTCAGATTGTCAGTCCTTTTCTGGAATGCCAAACGAGAAGACTTGACGTGATGATAAGACCTCGCCTCTCCGCATTCATGATTCTAAGCACTTGCCAAGACAGCAGAAGCATTCCAGGTCTTTTGCCACGTGGCTGCGCTGGAATGCGATTTGCCTGGCAACACCTTTATTGCGGCTACGAGCCTTTGTCCCGGAACTTGCGGCTCTGCATCTCATGCCTGTTGCAGGCCCTCGTGTGGTCTTTGTCCTGACAAAAGCGACGCCACTATCTCCAGCAGTCGAGCTTGCACATTACAGCTACTTCCCTCATCCCCAACTGTAACACCTTACGGCGACTGCTAGTGTAGCATGGCTGACCTTACAGCGCTGCTGTCAAACCTGAACACCGACGCCGGAGGCTGTCCGGCGCCCTTCATCGCCGAGTCGCGGTATCCGTTTACGGATGGATGTAAGTCATGCGTGTGCAGCTCGTACGCCAGCTCGAACTAACGTGATCGGCAGACTATGGTGGACGCAACTGCGCTGCCAACCCACTCGACACCTCGGCCAATGCTTCAAGATGCTGTATCCCGTGCCCAATCTTCGACTGGACGTACGACGACAACTTCAAGAGATTGACAGATGGAGCCGCATGGTACGTAAATTGATGGAGGAGAACCAAATATCGAGTCTGATGCGCTGACTATGATTTAGGGTGAATGTTGTAGGATTCATTCTATGCGGATTTCTCCTCATCTCAATGGTAGCTCTGCCTACTACTGCCTCTCGCCGCTCTTATCTAAACATCATCCTCCTGGCTGGCTTGATGTTGCTGGAGCTGGGATTCATCATACCACTTGCACGGCAACCGGAACAGTGCTTCGATCCGATCACACCAAACGACATGCACAGCAACTTGACATGTGCTTTCTCTGGAGCCTTCGCTGCCTTTGGTGGCATGGCAGTAGTTACTTGGATCGTCATTCGTGCCCTTTTCATGCATCTTCAGGTCGTCCACAACTTCACACCTGGCACTCGTTCATATATCGCAGCAAATGTTCTGGCTTGGTCAGTCACGATCGGACTCACAGCTGCCGTCCTAGCTCATTCTGGAGTCTCATTTCGATTTGGAGGTAAGTAGGTCAATGTTTAATCGAAGGCAAATTCCAGAAATTGACATGGGGGTAGGCTATTGTCACGTCAACGTCGGCTCAATTTCGACATACTGGGGCTGGCTACTGGGCTTCGGTGGCATCGCCTTCCTCCTCCAGCTTGCAACACTCGCCTATTGCATCAAAGTCTACCTCACCGCCGCGATTGTCGGCAGACAAGCGCTCGGCTCCTCAAGCAATAAATCTTCAATGGGAGGATCCTCACGCTCCCGGACGGCCTTTGCGTCTCTACGGCGTTTGAAGACTGTCTTGGCTCTTCAGTGGCGCTCTGTGGCGATTGTAATCCTGGCAATCTTCACGACGTCCTTCGTGTGCGTCGTGTTCATTGTCCTGGACAACTCAACCACGCTAAGTGCCTTCGCGAACGTGGACATCCTGATCCCTTGGCTTCTCTGTATCATCGGTACCCAGGATAAGAACAAGTGCCTGCAATACACAGGGCCTTTCATCATACCGCAAAGGATAGTCGACGCTACGCTATATATTTTGGCGTTTGTCGGGATCGAGGCATTCCTTCTCATGGTCAGAGTGGACATCTTCAAAGGCTGGTGGGCTTTTATTCGCAACCCGCTGGGTCGACGCAGATCAAGACCGGACTCCACCGACACCTTTGTGACTCAACCGATTCAGAGATTTGAAGTCAATAGAGGCAGCACGATCTTGGTCCAGTCACCGCGAGGAGCAGAGATGGAGAACAGGAAGTCGATGGCTCCAGTATCTCCAGTGGAAGTGGAAGAGAAGCGACACCCTGAGACGAATGTGTAGTCGAAGTTGGTACATACGATAGCGTCAGCTGAGTTTAATGCTTCCAACTCCTGACACCCACGCAATTCCTTATCCAGTTGTCTTACTATACATGCACGGCCAATGCATGCAGACTGAGTGAACTTACGTAGTCTTCAGCCGCCCCCTAGCTCTTGCGTCTCAGTCAACGATGGCATTGAGGGCATCAGCCAGAGCCATTGCGTCCATCGCGGCCTCAAATTCTTCAGCATCCTTCTTGGCCTTCCACTGCAAGAAGCCGTCCACGATCTTCGGCACAAAAGCAAACTCGTCTTTATTTTCCTCGTAATCCCGCATTTCCATTTTCAAGCCCGCATCTTCCAATTGCTCCCCCTTCTTTAACAACACTACTCTTTCCACGTCATCTGGACTTGCGAGGATGCCTTCATGCTCATGCAGAGTGTCGGAGATCCCTTCCACTCCGACTCGCACTGCTGAGAGCGGCTTCGAAATCGTCCTAGGTGCACGCAAAACAGCACCCCATTTGCCCGGACCTCCGTGCAGCTGCCATCTCTTCACTTCCACCCTGAGAAGATCCCTCATCACCGTCTTCTGTGTAGTGTCGATGCTGAACACTTCCAGCACTCCCATAGCCGCGACATGCCCGATGGTTGTTCCTCGTGTCTGCCTTGCGCCGGTACTGGTGATGATGTTCTGGTATCCGCACGTAACGGTGAGGTCTCCGTCGAATGAGTGAGACGTATTGATGTCAATCTGCGCAGCTTCGAAAACTTTTTCGAATGCTTGGCGTATCGCATATCTCAGGCTGATGTTGTCGTAAGGCGGGTCGAGTCTGTAGTCCGCATCTGTGGCTGCGGAAACTTTTGCTCCATCTGCTTTGAAGGGGTGCACTGTGATGTTCGCCGCGAAAATGCGGTTTTCGTCAAGAAACGCGATAACGCCGACGCCGTAGTGGCAGCCCGTGATGGCGACTCTCTCCAATTGGGCCAGGCGGAATATGCCGCCGCAACCTGGCTGGACATTGATGCACTTGGGCCGTCGAGTCATTTTGATGTTTCCTTCGATGTTTGTTTCAGTCGTTCAGCGCATGTCAAGCTGTTTGCTCAGAAGCCGAATGGAGAAACTTCGGCAGCCGCCGGTGGACGAACATGTGATTCTTGGCTGTTCACCCCAGTAGCGAAACTTCCGCAAAGTTTGAACCGCTCCACCAGGAAACCCCTTCATCCTCTCGCATGCCGCCGTCTAGATCGCTACAGGTAGGGCACTGAAGGCCCAGGCCGCGACCCACACAAGTGCAGGTTCCCCAATCCAATCTTGCATCCCATAAGCTTCTGATGTACTGCCATCGGACGAGGTCGATTTTGGCGACACTGTCTCTGTAGTTGAGCCTTTCGCCTGGCCATCTGCTTGAGCTGGAACTGAAATCGGCTCTCCAGATGAGGTTGCGGGCGTGGTCCTGCCAGCTGAAGGATCGGTGTGTATGTCGCCGGGATTGCTACCGATGCTGCAGTTGAAGCCACGCACGATGCCTTTTCAGTCGAAGCAAACCCAATTCCAGGTATTCTGGAAGTATCTCTTCGCGTCCGATACTAGCTAGCTCATTCGGGTGGCTAAGTAGATCCCAAATGTTTCAGCATGACGTCTTAACCTCTATCGTGTTGGAATAAATTGTCACCCACCATTGGCGACGAAGGCTCCGAATGAGAAGAGCAACTTTGCGAAAGACAAGTCAGCATATCTTTCCAACGCTGTAGAAAACCAGGACGTCGCACCCGGGAGACCGCCAGAGCAGTAGTATTTGGAGTCGTACAACTGCCCGTTTCTCGGGCGAGAAGAACGTCGTCGGCAATCAGCTTCATCATGGAGTCGAAGACCGAGAGCGACTCACAACGATAGGTAGTGCGTTGTATCAGACCAGCAAAAGGCCCCCAGATCATAGTCCGAGCATGGCTGGTCCGAGGAAAGTAATATAGACATAGTCACACCAATCTGTAATGACCAAGATACATGACGGGACCCATATCATCCGAAGGCCGCTTGCCAGCTTGATACAGACATCTACGTCGATCGCAGCCAGGAAGGCTTTGTTGCGAAGGACTCTGCGGTTTGCGAGTGGCTTCGGCGCAAAGAGTCGTTCGTACTGCATGAATTGAATGAGGAGAACAAAGCCGATCGTACCCATAGCGGTCATAGCTAAACGATCGTTAGCTCACCGCTGTATCCACGCAGGTCAAGGCTAAACAGGCTGGCATAATCAGCGCCGGTAGCACAGGTCTGGAAAGACGAAGCGAGAAAGGAGAATCATTAACTTACTGGAAGCTGGCGTTACAAGGCTTCACCAATCTCGATATCTTTGGTCGAATACTTCTTTACAAAGATGACCTACCACGCCTTTTTTGAAAATTGGCTCTCCTGATCTCCACTTCTTCGAGAGCAAGCTCTCTCACTCCATCACTAAATCACGAGCAACTCCGGCACTACCTACTCGAGTTGACTACTGCTGTCGATATGCAGGGGAAATATCTCAGCATAATTTCCAAATATGCCGATCCAGCAAGACAGTCCACGTGTGAATCTCGTAGAATCTCGGGCAGGTAAGTAGGTGCACCAACGGTCGTCTGTCCAACACCGATACCAGCGTTTTTGTTGATCCCAATGATGATACATTGTAGGGAAAAGTCCCCGTGAAGCCATTCGAGATATTTCCAGAATGGCGAATGCCCTTGCATGGTGCAGCAGCGTTAGGTAGTAGAGGACCGGGCCAACTTACGTCCTACCAGGTGAGCTACCTAGCAACTAACAAGCCTCAGAGTCCGCCAAGAGCAGAATAGATTCCCTTGGTCACGGATCACAAGTCTTCATGCGCTGCGTGTCGTGCAGTCTCACCGTTTCGAAATCGTCGAATGGTGGACACGCTAGAGAGGCGACTGCGATCACAGGTCTATAGCATTTGGAGCTTCTCCCGATGTATGTGCTTGGCTTCTGAATATGTACACTCGCTGAACTCCGCGCTTCGAAACGATACCTGGCACTCATGCACCGATCTCAAGCAATCGGCTCTGGTCAACGCCCATGCCAGCAGCGGCCAAAAGCAGAGCCGCGCCCTCCTTGTCCTTCTTCCCACTGGCAGCCAGAATGCCGAAGCGGAGGAAGACTTCTGTGCAAGTGACCAGGATACTCAAGATGATGAGGACGATGATGATCCAGGTGATGCGGGTCATCTTGACGTCCGCAATGCTGTCGGATAGAATCTCGGCTAGGTCAAGGAACACCTTGCACCTCTCGTTGAGTACCTGAATGCGTGGCCTGATTTCGAGGTACTCTCGCACGGCTGCGTAGAGAGGGTGCAAGGTAGGCTCGCTCCCCCAGAAGAAAGAGGGTGTGTCGAGCATGTTGGAGGCTGAAGTCCAATTGTTAGCACAATCAACGGAATCGACCATCGAAACTTACAAAGATTGACCTCTACTCTTCCCTCGAAGAGTCTCCCCACCAGACCCACGATTTCTTTGCGGTCCATGCCCAACCTCCCTTCCAAGGCAAGTCTCCTTGGCACATATTGCGCTTCGGACATGGTCCTTGACATCTTCTCTTCGAAGAAGGATAGCTTGGTAGACTGTGCGATTCCGTGGGACATGGCCAGCTTGATCATGTGATCACGGGTCCGCAGGGTGATCATGTCGTTGTATATGCGAGGCTTCTCTGCTGTGTTGTCATACTGGAAATGGAACTCTTCAGTTTCAAAGTCGCTCTCGTCCAGCGGCCGGGTCATCAGCGGTAGAGCAGATGGCGGTGCAAGAGCTGCAGCTTTCTGTAAGAGATGATTGGGTTGATGCTTGCCCGAAGGCATCGCCGACTGTGAGGAAAAGGTCATGTCGGCAAGGAGGTCCTTCTCCTGATTGGGTGTAAAGTTCCAAAGAACAGCAACGCCGTAGCTGAAGATGAAGAGCTCGGCGACGGTGTGCGCATCGGCAGAGATACCAGCGGCGTGCGGCGACGGAATGCTGAAAGCGGACGAATCACTACTTTCTCTCCGATCGCGTTCGTCGTCTTGCCAAGGATCTTGATGCACGCCGTTTGCCCTGACGCTCTCGTCCAGCACCTCTTGCATCTCAGGCGGGAGAGTCGAGTTGTAGTTCCCGCGTACTGAGTACTCCTCGCTCTCTTCACCCCACCCTTCGCGATACTGTCGTCGCTCATTCGCCTCGATCTGCTCGTCCAGCACACTGCGCCCACCGGGATGTCTCACAACCGGACTACTGCGTACGCGGTAGCCGTCACTCCCACCCAGCAGTGGCAGCTGGTAGACACAGTACAGACAGTCGTCGTACAGTTTCGTCTTGGCTCCGTGCTGGTCTCTCACAAACTGCGCTGTGCTACGCAGTTTGTAGTTCTGTGCTGTGCAGTATGCCGTCACCCTCGCGAGCTGCGGATCCGCTATTCGTTGTGATTTGGGCAATCGCTCTGCTTCGCTCTTTGCCTTTCCCGCACCAGCAGCTTTCCGACGCCTCCGCAGCTCTTCATCATCCGGCGGCGCGCTGTCATCTTCCTCTTCGAACTCGTCGTCTCCTCCCTCTTCGGAAGTCTCGGGCAAGAGGACGAGCTTCTCGCTGGTCTTGCTGCTCCGCGCTGGAATATGCGCATTGCTCAGAGGCACGCCTCGGCCGCTCAGCTTCGGGTCGAGGGGATGTCGTCCGGAAGGCGTACGGTTGTGATTGAGCGGACGGGCGCCGGGAGGAAGTCTACGCTGCGCCGAGGGGATTTCGCTGGCGTATTGAAGGACATTGTCCACGGAAATGAGGCGGGTGCCCGTTCTCTGCGGCTGGGGACGCGACGGAGGTGCCTGTGGCCGTACCTCACGGGCGTCTGTGACCTGCTCCATCGTTTAGCGTCATGTCCACTGCATGTTTGTCGCGCCGGAGAGGAAATACCAGGGAGATTGGGCCGCGTTTCTGGCCGCGAGGTCCTGCCACAGACATGTTTCAGGCGTGAAGGCGGAGCGTGATAAGCGGACAGGTTAGGAATGCTGGTATTAGTGGGTTTGCATGGCTCGTGGGTTACATCGAGGACGGCAGCTTCCGTTCCGTAGACCAGGAAAGAGGATTGTGTGTTGTAATGAAGTCGTTTCCATGGCCAATGTCAGCCATACGACTAGATCTACCTCACTTCGGGCCGCTAC